GGACCCCTGCCCCATGCTCCCAGTCCTGCAAAACCCTAGCTTAGCCAAGAAGACTTTGAACGCCAGTAACAGAAATCTACTCATACTAATGCAAATTTTACTAGAGAGAGGATTTGTGGAAACCTAAGAGCTCAACCATCAGCCTTCAGGAAGGGCAGGGATGGGGCAGCCCCGAGCCTCTAGCAAGAGTTCATGGGCCTTTGTTGACCCTGTGCTCTACCTTGAGTCTCTGACTCAGCCTGGCTCCCTCACAGGGCAGCTGTGGACCCCTGAGATCATTGGTACCATTGTGTCCCCAGCTATTCAATCACTACGTGGCCCAATTCCAAAATCCAGGGAGAGGAAGCAGCACTTAGATCCTCCTCTTGGGGAAGGTGTCCATCCCGTTCCAATCAGTTATGGCTGGAACGGGGTAGGGAAGCTAAATCCTGTGGTCCTTGAGCTACTCCTTTCAACTGCTCTGTGCAGATCCAATCCAGCCAATAAAGGAGCTTGAGTGCTATCGACAAAGAGCCTCAGTGAGTGCCTGGCTAATCCACTCTCACTGGAACCTCTTGCCTTTTCTCCCTCCCACTTCCCTGAGCAACTGGGACCTACCTGCTTCTCAGTCCAGCATGTGTCCCTGGCTGGGGGTTACTGCTGTCCTTTGTCAGGCTGCCTGGGCATGTGCTATAAATGAATGGGCTCAACAGAGGCTAGTGTATATGCCAGGTGGTAGACCAGCTGGTTAAGAGTTAGCTCTGCAGGTGCTGGGTCAGGGAGACAGATCTGCGTGGAGGTGGGATGGGAGTGAGGAGCCCAGTTTAAGGCTTCTTTCCCATGCAGACAGGTTGAGCAGGAGGAATCAGAATAGGAATCCTGGGGAGAGGGGTGGGTCAGGCAGCAAGCAGTGGCTTGGGTAGTGAGCCTGTGGGAAATGAGGTTTGCATTCCCCAAAAGAGCTCTGTCAAAGGTCTCTTACCCCCCAGGTTCGCGGAATCCCACAACCCTCAGGTGTGCCTGCTGGGTTTTCCCACTGACTCTGACACTGCGCACTGCTTCCTTTTCTAACACTGCTTCTTGGGCTCTTGGGACCCTCCTCCCCCTCATCGACATCCCTGAGTGAGCCATCTTGTTCTCTGATTCCATGATTTCCTTACCAGACTTCTGACGTCAGTCCTCTCTCTCTCAAGAAGGTAGTGTAGGTAAGAGATTAGGCTCTGGTGTGTGACCTCTGTCAACTTACTTAACTCTTCCTAAGCTTCCCTTTCCTGGACTGTAAAGTGGGGCTGTTAAGCGTCCCTGCCTCAGGGCACCTGGGTGGCTCAGTTGGTTAGGTGAGTGCCTTCGGCTCAGGTCACGATCCCAGGGTCCTGGGATCGAGTCCCACATTGGGCTCCCCCTGCTCCGCGGGGAGCCTGCTTCTCCCTCTGCCTGCCATTCCCCCTGCTTGTGCTCTCTCTCTCTCTCTGTCAAATAAATAAAAGCTTTTAAAAAAAATAAAAATTAAAAAAAAATTAAAAAAATTAAAATTAAAAAAAAGTCCCTGCTTCATAAGGGATGTTATGTGGACTAACTGCTGTCATGCATGCATGTAAAATGCTTTCTGTGGGGTCTGGAGTGTACTAAGTAGTCAGTGACTCTCAGCTGCTGTTCCTTTCCAAAGTCTCATGGTCTGTCTAGGAGACCTTCTCCCGTCCCCTTGTTTCGACTCTCTACTCTAGAAAGAGGATCTCCAGATCCGAATGCAGTTGGAGCTCTGGATTTTCACCTGCTTATTGAGAGGCACTGCAGGGCAGAGGAAAGAGCAGGGGCTCAGGAGGGGCAGACGGGGGTTGCGTCTTATTCAGCACTCACAGCTGTAGCCTTCAGCAGCACTCACAAAGAGCCTTCATCTGAACACCTGCTCACCCACGCACTCATAAGTGGGTTCATGATACTTGCTTCTCTGGAGTTGAATAAGCTTTGCCATATGTTTCCCCCAGAGCACCTATTCTACTCTAAAATGATAACTCTCTCCATGCTGTCCCCCAACCAAAGGGAGAGTCAAGTCCTTGAGAGCAGAAGCCTTGCCTTCTTGTTCACTACTGTTCTCGGCCCCAGCACACTCCTGGCACAGGCTCAATAATGTTAGTTGTTCATTTACTTTCTCTCCTCCTATATTCCTCTGACTTCTCAAGTCAACATGTACCCATCCAAACAACTAATCATTTCCTCGCTAGACCTGACCCATTAATTTAACAAACATTTGTTAAGTGCCAATTATAAGCCAAGCACAGGCCTAAGGGCTGGGACAGACAAAAGATAGATGAGACATTGTCTCATTTCGAGAAATGTTTACTGTCCACTGGGGAGATGGATAATGACACAGTATTTGTAATAACAGGAATACAGACACTTCACAGGGAATCCCAAGCACAGAGAAGGAACAACCTTTCTGAATGTGGGAGCTGGAGAAGGCTTCTCAGAGGAGGTGACAATTGCCCTGTGTGGTTATGAAAGAGTAGCAATTTTTCAGGCAGAGATTGCCCAAGAGAGAGGAAAGAGCATCGTAAAGACATGAACTAACATGGTGCATGCTCAGCTGGAATGGAGGGTTTGAAGGAAGAGAATGAATGGAGGGCTGAGACAATTTCCCCACATTTTTTAAGTGGAAAATTTCAAACATATACGGAAATAGAATAAGTGTATAAAATCCTTCTCCATGTGCCCATCAGCCAGCTTCAACAATTACCAATTCAATGGCCAATCTTTCTGATTTCTATCCCTACCACTAAACTCCCATCCCGTTATTCTGATGCAAATCCCAGACTGAATCATTTCATTCATAAATACTTCAGTATTTTGAAAAGGGAAAGCATATCCCTTTTTTCTTTCTATAGATGTATCATGGTATACTCAACAATGCGCCTTGTTTGTTCGCTGTTTATCCCTATATCTATGGCAACTGCGCTCTATCATGATATAGAGTTGACTCCCTCTTTTAGGAAGCTACTTAGTGTTCCTTTTTGAATATACCACAAATAATCTCACTAGTCCCCAACTGATGGGCATTTAGGTTGTTCCCAATCTCGTAACACCAAAACAAAGCTGAGAGAATACCCTGGAACATACATCTTTGTGAGCATATCTATAAGTTAAATTCCTGGACACGGAATTGCTAGGACCTGGTACACTTCAAATTCTGACAGGTGCTTCTTATTTGGCCCAAGAGGTGCTTTGAATGATTTGATGAAGACGCTTTCCCTCTGTTGTCTAGGCTTGTGGCATTATGGAGTCCTCTCTGCCTCTTCTCCATGTAATCAGTCATATTTCCTACCAACTCAGCTCCCCCTCGTGTGTCCATCTTCCTCCCTTCATTCTCACTGCTGTGGTCCTGGCTCAGCCTGCATCCTTTCTTACTAGGACAGTTGCAACTACCAACTCAGAACGTATTCTAATCATCTGCCAGAGCAAACATCCTAAAACGGGAACTAAGTCAGTCTCTCGTTTAAACACCTCTGTTGCTGTCTCACCATGCACAATATTGAAAAATCCAGCTCCTGAGCCTGCCTTCCAATGCTTTCCAGTTTGTCTCCAACTTTTCATTTCTCATATAGTTTAGGCTTCACGAAACTGGACCCTGGTGCCTTACTTGGGCCCCTAGCTCACCCTCTCCTTCCTTTCTCTGTTGTGGAAATCCTGCTCATCTTTAAGGTAAACTCAAACCCTGTCTCCTCCATGAATCCACGCAGTGTGGGACCATTAGTTTTGTACCCAGGTTGACTTGGATTCTAATCCTGACTCTCTCTTTTAACATTTGGAGTCCTCTACCCACAGGGGGATACATTTTCACTTGCGGATATGATCACCAGCCTTGGGCTTATGAATGTCTTAAGGAGGAGGCCTTACTGATGCATGTTTTCTGGAATACCTAACAATTGCTCTTATTATTCTTAAAATGATTATAGCCACTACCCCAAACCTCACTCAAGAAAGTCAAGAGATTTATCAGTAATAGAAAGTTACTGCCATGGGGCCCCGGGGTGGCTCAGTCTGTTAAGGGCCTGCCTTCGGCTCAGGTCATGGTCTCAGGGTCCTGGGATTGAGTCCCACATCCGGCTCCCTGCTGCGCGGGAGTCTGCTTCTCCCTCTGCCCTTCCCCCGCCACTCTCTCTCTCAAAAAAAAAAAAAAAAAAAAAAGCTCTGGCCACAGCCCAGGCTGCCACCTTCCTGCCGGATATTCCAGAGGTCAGTTTAACTGATACTTTAGAATCATAGGTTCATGGCTTGGAGCAGGCACAGCGGGCCTAGAAGTTATGATGAGTAGTTTTACCAGACTGTTAACAAAATAGCTGACTACCGCCAGAGCCATCAGAGACCAACAAAGAGCTTGAGACGCCCTAGCTCAGGTGGTCCTCCGCAACAGTAATCAGGGCTCTCTTTCCGGGCATGTCACTTAATCTGAGACTCAGATTTTTTCATCTGTTAAATAAAGACAAAAATACCAACCTTGCCGGATTGTTGTGAGGGGTAAGGATAATGGGCATATAGTAGGCGCTCAATAAAAAGTAATTTTCATTATTTCTGTGGTCACTATGACCGTCCCGCCGCACTTGATTGGAGCACTGGCTGTATTTGCTTTGTATCACAGCTGGGGGTGGACAAGAGAGTGTCGAGCGCTAGACTGCAAGCTCGCTGTAGGCAGGGCTTGTGAATCACCCCTGGATCTCCCAGCGCCTGGCAAAGAGCCTGCAAATAAGCAGAGAAGGAGACAGAGGTAAACATGGAAAAAGATGCGCAGACGGAAGGAGGGCAGACGCACAGAAGAGCTGCTGCAAGACAGGTTTCGGCTGCAAGACAGGTTTCGGCTGGAATCTCGGTTGGAATCTCTACAAGCCGGCTCGGCGCGCGGAGCCCGGCCCGGGGGCGGGGCCGGGGTCCAGGGGCGGGGCTTGGTGCGGACCCCGCCCCGGTCCGTCCGCGAATGCGCTCCGCAGGCGCAGGCCGCGCGCAGCCCCGGGCGGGGAGCTGCCTGCAGGTTCCCCCGCGGCTCGGCGGGTCCGAGAGCTGGCGCCGAGATGCGCCCCCTGCTCGGCCTCCTGCTGGTCTTCGTCGGCTGCACCTTCACCCTGTACTTGCTGTCGACGCGACTGCCCCGGGGGCGGACGCTGGGCTCCGGCAAGGAGACCGGAGGCAGGTGCGTGGCGGGGGCCGCGGTTCGGGTCAGAGGAAGGGAGCCAGGTCCGAGGAGGGGGTCTGGGAGTGGGAGATTCGGTTCCGGGAGCGGAGGCGTCGGGGGCAGGGGGTTCGGTTCTGGGACTGGGGATCGGGGCCTGGTGGCCCGGCCGCATCTGTCCAGTGTCGGGCCGGCGGGGTGGATGGGAGTCGGGGCCCTGGCTGGAGCTGCCGACTGCCGGCTGCGCGGTGTGCAGTTTGGGCGCGCGATCCGTGGCTTTGCACGCAGGGCGGTGATTTGCAGAGGGAAACGCCGCATCTTATCCCCGCGGCGCCCGTTCGCGCGCCTCTGTCGGCGCGGTGGCGTCGCCGCAGGAGCCGTGCGCCCGTCGCCTTCCCGGGCCCAGCCCTAACCCGACCCTCGCCCCAGTGTGGACCCGCAGCCCCCCTCTCCACAACTGCTCTCAGCCTCCCTCCTTCGTCCTCCCCACCCCATCTCACTTCCGTCGGCTCTGCCCTTGGGGCTTGCAAGCATTCGGTCTTCAGGAGTGTTGCATGGACAACTTTAAATTATTCACGAATTAATGATCAGGTCCGCCGGTCTTCCTGGCTGTCTCTCCTTTTCGCCTTCTCATGACCGACTTGGGGCGGGAGGCGGCACCGCGGGGCTGATTCCCCGGGAGTGTAGCATACAGTTTATAAAGTTTATGGAAGTGTGCGTTGGCAAGGATGTTACTGATATTTGAATATGAGGATAACTGTGTTCAGTTACAGTATTCTTTTGCCCTAGTTGAGAAGGCTGTGCTGTGGATGTCAGGCATACTAAGAGAAACATTCTGATGGCAAGTAGGCGGGTTTGCTCATAATTGATCATTGATGGATTCAAGGGTTACTCTTATCTCAGAGGCAAGGTGGCCTTTACACTGTAACCCTTGTACAGGGTTCAGAATGAACTAAGGGCCAGATAAAGAGTTGGGGGGAGCCTCTTTGAAGGGATTGGTTTCAAGCCTAACATGTTATCAAGAAGCTTATGTTTGTGGTATGGGACAGATACACTTTCCCAGGGAATCTTTAATTGGCCTGTTAGTGACTGATAAAACAGTCTTTTTACCTAGTAACTGGGGAGCATTGTGAAGTTTCAATTGTCCTTGGCCTGAAGCTTGTGGGGGAGGGGGCGTTCCATGAAGGGAAGGCAATTTAGGACATTTAGTTCTTGCCTGAAAATGAATGCGTTTGCCTCTTAAGAATACATCATAAAACCTGAGAACTAAAGGGGCACTTACCACTCATTTTTTCCTGTAAGGAAACTGAGGCCCAGGGACTAGCCCGAGAGCACACTGCTGGATAGCAGCAGAGTTGAGATGTTAACCCAGGTTTTGCTTCCCAAGAAGCAAGCTCTTCTGTCTCCCTCTGCTGTGTGGTATCAGGTCCCCTGTCACCCTGGGCTCCCAGTATGTGTATGTTCCCAGCAAACCAGTTGATGGGCACATTTATAAACCTACTTTGGAATGAAGACACAAGTGACTTTCCTAGGTACTAGGCCGATCTGGACTCACGTTTCCCTGCGCTTTTCCAAATCCCCAGGTCACTGTGGTTCCCCTCAGACCTGGCGGAGCTGCGGGAGCTCTCCGAGGTCCTTCGAGAGTACCGGAAGGAGCACCCGGCCTACGTGTTCCTGCTGTTCTGCGGCGCCTACCTCTACAAGCAGGGCTTTGCCATCCCTGGCTCCAGCTTCCTGGTCAGTGCCCTGCCCTCCTTCTGTGCCCGCCAGGAAACCACCTTCTGTCTTTGCAGAGGGGCCCTTAGGCTGCAAATCACACAGTCCAGAGGAAGAGTACTGTGGCGGCCATTTGTCGACAGCCTCCCCTGGGTCAAACACTGTCCTAGTTGCTTTCCTGACCTTATTTAACTCTCCTAGCAGCCTTAGTGTGTGGGCGTCATGATCCCATTTTACAGATAAGGAAACACTGCGGTGGGAAGGCACTGTCCGAGGTGACAGGGAGAGGAGGGGCGGGGCTGGGGGGCTGAACCTGTGTCTGCCTGGCCCCAGAGTTGGCCTCTCCTCTTGTTTCCAAGGCCTTGATGGCTGCGCGCTGCCCCGGAGACACACACACACAGTCCGGGCTGGGTCGGCTGTTCCTCTCGGAGCTTCTGTAACATTCTCCATCTTGGCACCGTTTTCTATTACTTTTTGAAAATCCGTGTTCTCCACTAGTCTTTGAGTTCTTTGAGAACCCGACCCATTCCTGATTCTCGGCTTTGTGTTTCTTTGCCCGGCTCAGGGAATTACCTTCACAGATGTTTGACGAACAAATGCAAGATGTTGATGGTGATGTGAGGCTGGAGAGGCCGGGGAGACCTCCCTGCGTGGGGAGGGTGTGAGGAGGACGAGTCGTCCGGATTTCCCAGGCGGCCCCTCCCACCGCCCTCGGAGCCGCGGCGCTGGGCCTGGGCATGCGCTCTGGCTGCCGGCTGCTTCTGTTCAGTTGCTGCCTGAGGCTCTAAGGAAGAACCTTGCTGTCCTCCCCGCGGCATTTTCAGCTGTTTCATGTCAGTGTGTGTGTATTTTCGGGCTTGGGGTTGAATCTCAGCTGCGTAACCACGGGCAACCCCTTTAACTTCTCCAACCCTGTTTCCTCATCTGGAAAATGGGGCTACTCCTACGCGTTGTCGCGTGGAGGGTTAAATGGAATGGTGCGTGGAGAGCACCTGGCTCGGTGACAGTGCCTGGCGCACAGTGGCCCTCAGCACTTGTTCAATGACTGATTGACTGAGCAGGAGACCCTGAAAGCTTCCTTCCGCCCTGCTTTTTTCTCCTGCCTTGGCATCTTTTCTCTACTCCAGGCTCGGGCTGGAAACTGGAAGAAAAGCAAACGTGTCCATGTCAAGAGAGACAGGGAGGTGTGTGGTGCTTGAGGTCTGGGACTGACTTCTTGGGGGTGCCTCTGTAGCTGCCTTCCCTCTTTTTTTTTTAAGTAGGCTCCATGCCCAACATGGGGCTTAAACTTACCACCCTGAGATCAAGAGTCAGAGGCTCTACCGGCTGAGCCAGGCAGGCGCCCCCTGCCTCCCCTCTTGAGCTGATCCCTACTCAGGGCAGAGAGTCAGATGCTACCTGGGAGTGAATCCTGTCTCTGCCTAGTGGAGGAGCTTGGGCACAATACTTAATCTCTCCCCGCGAGAATGGTGTAAGGATGGCATAAGACACAGGGTCGTTGTAAGGATGAAAGAAGACATGTAGTCAAGCACTTCGGTTATAGTAGGTGCTCATCAGACCCCCCACCTTCTCACTTGGAAGTTCCCCTTTTACTTTCTCTCTTGGATCCCATGTTTGGCAGGGTGACGTCTACCGGCCAAACTGTATTTAGGATGTATTTGTTCACTTTTTATTTTTCTTAATCTGAGACTTTTTTGAGTGTCAGCTAGAGCTCTGGTCAACGTGGAACCCCCAGTGTTCTCTACCACAGATGTAATTCCAGCAGGAAGCAAAGAAAGAGGATGTTTTATATAGCTTGGGTGGTCTTACTGAAGGAAAATTCATGGTTTCTGTTCATTTAAAATGGTAACAATAACGTGTGAGTTGCATTTCTCCCTTCTTGGAGCACTGGTGATCGCAGAACCTCCCACAGCCCGTGCAGCAGGCCGGGGGGCTGTATACCCGTATTGTCCCAGAGAATGTTCTCCTGCCTTCTGAAGTGTTCACCTCATCCCTGTTTGGAAGGTGAAGAGACCAAGGCCAGGGGTACAGTTCCCAGCCCTGTCATCACTGTTCATTCACCCCTTTAGAATGGGAGTTGGGTTTGGGTTGGGAAAATCACTGGAAGAGGAGAGAACCTGTGACTCTTGGTCCCCAGTATAAGGTGACTGGTAGCCAGCAGATGTTCTAATGGCTGAGGGGTTTGTTTTATTTTTGCAGAATATTTTAGCTGGTGCTTTGTTCGGACCATGGCTGGGGCTTCTGCTGTGCTGTGTGTTGACATCAGTGGGCGCCACGTGCTGCTACCTGCTCTCCAGCGTCTTTGGCAAGCAGCTGGTGGTCTCCTACTTTCCTGAGAAGGTGTCCCTGCTGCAGAGGAAGGTAAGGGGAGGGGCTGCAGCTGAGTGCTGGGCCCCCTGACGGTCACCTCAGGGCTCTGAGGGGTGTGCAGGCAGGAATTTCCCACCATGGTCCTCCACCCTGCTTTGGAGCTCTTAGGGGCTCCTTTTGGTCTGTTCATGAGGCACAGACCTGGGATCAAATTCCGGCTTCATCATTACGTGCTCTGTGACTTTGGGCAAGTTCCTGACTTCTCTGAGCCTCAGGTACTTCCATTTTATTTTATTTTATTTTTTTAAAAGATTATATTTATTTATTTGACAGAGGCACAGCAAGAGAGGGAACACAGCAGAGGGAGAGGGAGAAGCAGGCTTCCCGTGGAGCAGGGACCCCGATGCGGGGCTTGATCCCAGGACCCCGGGATCGTGACCTGAGCCTAAGGCAGATGCTTAATGACTGAGCCACCCAGGCACCCCAGTACTTCCATTTTAAAAATGAGGAAAACGGGCCCCTGGGTGGTTCAGTTGGTGAAGTGTCTGCCCCTGTCCCAGGGTCCTGGGATCGAGCCTGCTTCTCCCTCTTCCTTTGCTACTCCCCCTGCTTGTGCCCTTTCTCTCTGTCAAATAAATAAATAAAATCTTAATTTAAAAAAATGAGGAAAACAGTCTCTACCCTGGAGGGTTGTTGGGAGATTCAGGAACAGAATATGTGAAGTATCTAGAACAGTGCTTGGTGCTATCAGATTTTCAATATCTAGAGATTCTCTGCTTCTTAATGGCCTTGTCTTTTTTGGCTACAGGTGGAGGAGAATAGAAACAGCCTGTTTTTTTTCTTGCTGTTTTTGAGACTTTTCCCCATGACACCAAACTGGTTCTTGAACCTCTCAGCTCCGATTCTGAACATCCCGATTGTGCATTTCTTCTTCTCTGTTCTGATTGGTAAGAAGCTGGTGGGGTAAGTCTGAGTCTTCAGCATTGCCATGTCGGAGGCCTACCCACATGGGCCTGTGTCTGCCTTTGAGAGCCCAGGTTTGTGAAGAACAGCGTCAAGAGTTGCGACCTCCAGTAATTATTCCTGATTTCAAATCTGCTCAGGGCTGAACAGAAAACCCATAAAAATACTTTTGGGAAAAGTAAGGATTGTTCATTCCACAGTGGTATTTAGCGCCTGTTGTGTGGCCAGCACTGTGCTAGGCACTGGGGTTGGTAGCATCATCTGTGGAAAATGAGTCACTTGGCCCTTAGCAAGGTCTCAGGAAATGCTAGCAGGAAAGCAGAGCTGGAGTGAGGGTGTGTGGGTGAAAAAAGGGTGGAGGCTGAAGAAAGGAGCAGAGCAACTTGGCCAGGTGAGGGGCTGGGACAAGAGCATTGTTTCTCCAAGTCTGGGCCTTGGATCACCTTTATCAGCGTGGTGATGTGCTAGCAGCCCGTAAAGTCAGTGACTGTTGTCTTCACACTGGAGGTAAACCACCCTCTTTAAGCCTAAGGCAAAGAGTGCTTCTCTTAAACCTACTTGAGAGCATGGAGAGAAAGACTGACTACTCAGGACTTATAGGTTGGACATAACAAATCTGTGGTTGAGCAGCTGCTATTAATAGGGAACGCTTGATAGAGAAATTGAGATCTTAAGTCGAAGCAAAATCGACCACAGCTCATTCCAGTCATACTGGCTTTCGGAGAAAGTGTCTTGGTTCCTCAGTTAGCAGCCTGTGATTACCTAGGTGGCAGGAGGCCGGGAAAGACTCTGGAGACCGGGCTTCCAGTCTCCTCTCTGACAAGCTGTGTGACCTTGAGTGCTCTGTGATCTTGAGGCATTGTCTACTGTAGGGGAGGACTGGGTGATCAGGGGGTCCCAAACCAATTAGTCTCAGGAGGGGCGGTCAGGAGAAGCTGTTAGGATGCAGGTTCCTGGGTTTTACTCCAGGCCCAGGTAACCAGAATCTTGGGGGAGGATGGGGGGAGCCCAAGGATGTGTTTTTAACAGCTTCCCCAGGGGATTGTTAAACAGCCAGCCTGTCTGGCCACCAGTCAGGCTTCTCGGGGATCCAGTGGATTTGATGATCTCTTAGAGACAGTATAGAATGCGGAAGTAGTGCTATTTCTAAGAAACTTGTTTTTATCTTATGCATATTATAAATCTTATAATGTTGGTGCCTCTCATTACTTAGGCTGTTGGGTCCTCAGAACCCAGTTTGAGGGCACTTCTAGCAAATGTGTGAACCTTACACTTTTTCGTACTAACTATATCTCCTGATTTCTTGAAGGATATCTTCATTTATTTTTGTTTCCTATTAAAAATATTTTTATCTTATTGTAGCACATGCATTTTTTGTAAATCATCTCAAGTCTTTTTTGTTAAACAGGGCAGTTTATGGGAAGTGAGGAAAGGAGGGGAAGAGGTGGAGAGGGGAAAGAGGTAATGTGCTTAGGGGTCAGGAGTTGGGCAAAAAAAATCCGGAGTCATGGTTGTGAATTCCTGGGGACGTTTCTGAGGGGTTATTGTTTCTCATCTTGCTACCCCTGGTAACAGGCTCTTTCCCTTTCTTCCAGGTTTGGTCCCGTACAATTTTATCTGTGTGCAGACAGGTTCCATCCTGTCAACTCTTACCTCCCTGGATGCTCTCTTCTCCTGGGAAACAGTCTTTAAGCTTTTGGCCATTGCCCTGGTGGCCTTAGTTCCTGGAACCCTCATGAAAAAATTTAGTCAGAAGGACCTGCATTTGAATGAAATAAGCAACACTAATCACCTAAATAGCAGAAAAGACACGTGATCTGGGTTGTTTGCCACGTCCCTGGACTCTGTTGCTTATTTGTGTACTGGTGTGGTCCTCTGCAGCCCCTCATTGTTTTTAATTACCCTCAACAGGTGATTTGGACACTCTTCATCTGTGTGCAGCGTTTTCATGAAGGACTTTCTGTGCTCTAGAAGGGGGATTGTACCAGGTCCTCAAACCAGTCCTGGCTTAGCAGGACACTCTGTGAAACGGATGGCCTTCTAGAAAATCCTATTTATATTCTATTGAATAACAAGGAACTCAGGGTGGTCTGTTGTATTTGCCTCTTGCCAAGCCCTGAGCTGCCTTAGGAGAAGACGCTGATTGTCCTTGTCCAGAGTTGCCTGTTTCGCTAAGTGATAGGCTGTTGTGATAGGTGTTCTCCTGTTACGTCCCTAGTGGGTGTTCTTGGTATAAATGATGACGTGAACCCGCCTCACTGACATTACCCTTCATCTTGTTAGCCTCTTGAAGAGTATTGTGTACTATTTTTTTGCTGATGAGCTACCTCTTCCATAAACCAAGGGAAACAAGCTGATGAACTGCGCAGAACTTGCACATACAGCTCAAGTGCACAGTGATCTCCGTGATGCTTTGTGTCCAAATGCACTGATGTTACCATATATGTCCAACCTCTCAGTTGCATGTCCTGACAAATAAGCTGATTGCAAATAGATTAAATATGAATGCAGCAAACTCTATGTTACAGGTATGTTCTGGAGAAATTCCTACCTGTCTGAATGGGGCAGCGTCCTTGGCTCACTTGAACCAAATGACTGTCAGTACATTTTCTAATCTATCCTTTCTGTGTATGAATCCTTTCTCCATCCTCCTGCTAGGAGAATGGATTCAGTACACTGAACTATCAGCCAGTGTGCCCTCTGTATTTTTTTTCATACTGTCATTTGTCGAGAATAACTGAGGAATACTTTTATCTTTTAATCCAAAGAGGGAAACTTGGTTTTGGATTACTTTGTCGTGTGACATTTTAACGTTCTGAAGCTGTCATGGCTTCTTGCAGCTGCGGTATTGAATGGGCACAGGCCTGGGTTAATGCTGCCAGGGACACGAGGACCTTGGCACCTAAACTGACCAGCTCTGGGATCCCGGACCCTACAGGAGTAACTCATCATTTCTTACCAGAACTGTTGCCTTTGGGCATCACCTGCTGGGTTTTGATCTGGTTCGGCCAAAGTCTTGCCAAGGCTTTCACTTGGCCCACTGTTCTACATGCATTCCTGAGAATGCTCCTGTTCAGTAGGAAGCATCAGTTTCCAAGCTGTGCTTTAGGGACATGGTATGATCCAAAAAAACACAACAAGGACTTCATTTTTAAAGATGTGTTGCTTTCAGAGAAGCTTGGTAATGAGTGGGGGTTAAGAAGGCTGTGTGAAATCTGTAGCTTTTTGTGTCCTGGAGGAGGAGGAGGGAAGGGGGAAACCAGTGTCTTCTACACTATTGCAAGTATGTGCCCTTTGCCCTTCACAGGATCCTTGTATTTGTCTCTCCCCCCATGATTTTGCTACAATGTGCCTTACCAGTTGTGAGTTTACAGGTAAAGCAATTTCCCAAATAAATGGATATTAATGTTCTGTGTGGTGTGTGTTGGACATGTTGCTAACTTTCCATTCCCCTTGCCGGTGGGAATCAGGATTGGCTGAAAAGCAGACGATCCAAAATGGTGTTTTAGCTTTCCACTCTTGGGAGGCTTTACACCACTATGATTCTTTGGATGCCAGATTTTTGTTTTCCCCTTTTCCTTCTTTGCACTCACTCGATAGTGGGGTCACTAGGAACAGAGGAGGAACTATAAGATGGGCAGCGGGGAAGCCGTGGGAAGGCAGGAGGGCACCTGTCCAGGCTGTGACAAAACAAGAAGAGACTATGAGGAAAGAAAACGATGGTTTCCCTTCCTCCCGTGGGTGTGTCTGAAACAACAGAGCCACAGAAACCAGCTTCTCCACCCCCGGCTCTCCTGGCCGCAGGACACCCTGCCTGTCGAGTCTTCCCTTCCCGAAAGCTCTGACAAGTGCCAGGACGGGTGAAGGCAGCTGTCAGGACCCACACAGCGCCTTAGGAAAAGACAGGACCAGAAAGGAGTGAAGCACACTTTTTGTTTAATTCCATGCATTGGTTTGCTTCAATCGTCACTCCCGTTGCCCTCACCATACAATTGCTCAGTACAAATGGAGCTGGCGTCCGAAACCACAGGGAGCGGGGGACTGACGGGACTGGAGACCCCAGGGAGACAGATGAGGAAGCTCATTTTGAGACTTAACCACAGGAAAGAATTTGCTCCAAACTGGTAGGAACTCCAATTATTGCAATAAAGAATCCGAATGGCGGAGAGCCGCCCAGGTGATATGGTCCCTAAGGGTCATCTTCCTAAGAGCTGGCACATTCTGACTGTGGGGCCCTCTGCGTGGCACCATTGGAGGACCCTTTATGCCAGGACGCCGGGCAGCAACCTGGGGCCAGGGGCCAGCGCTCCCCTGAGTGCGGTGAAGTGGCTCCAGGGAGTAAGCCTGGCATTCGGCCGAAGGTTTCCTTACAGCGGCCTTGCATCCACGTAGGGGCCTGTCTCTGAAATCCTGCCACGATGCCCTCATCACATGACAGTTAACAGAAGCCTTAACCCCAACTCCTTGGAGGTAACCCTGTTTCTCAAAGCAGTGCTTTGAGAGCTCCCCTTCTTCTGCCATTTGTCCCTGAGAAGTGTTCCGGGTTCCAGAAGGGTCTTCCACTTGGCAACCTTGTTCATTCCAGTTTGAATAGGCGCTGCAATATTGGCTGTAGCATGCAAACAAGCCGACTAATGTAATTCTTATGTGCTAGTCTATGAGGTCGGTAACATTGGTGGTAGGAGTATACTAGGGCATTTATTCTATGAAATCAGCAAAGAAGAAAAATCTTGCTGCCTGGAAAGGCACTAAATTCATACTGACAGTACAAGTCAAAGTCTTAAAAAGAATATCACATTGTTTTGGTACATTAGCCTCACGGAGTCTAAGAAAGAAGCAAGTAACTGGGACTTAACATATTAATTTTGTTCATAGAAGGGGAGGGAGGAACATGCTTACTGAACACAATGAAATGATGTAAATGAAGAAACATTTTGGAATTCCATTCATCAGTGATTGGAAATCATTCAGTTGGAATTGTCATCCAGAAGGGCAGTGGGCGGAAGCAAGTGGCCTTTTTTCCTGTCAATGGTGCTGACCCCCCAACAGCCACATGGTGGGCTCCATAAGGAGGACACTGGTGTGATCCTGTCACTCTCCCTTCAGAGCTAACTCAAGATATCAAACCACCTTGAGAAAATTAATTATGAGCTTAGGATGGGGATGCCAAAACAGATCTCCCCCTACACACCAATTCCAATCAAGTGGGAGTTGTCCCCAGTGCCCTGTTGTGAGAGGTTCTGAGGCTGTGGAAAGAATATGGTGATCAATAAATAACACCAGTCTTGGTTGTTCAGGGTGGAGGTGGTAGATGGCAGTATGCAGTAGTATTTTGGTTTCTGACTTAGTGGAAAAACAAAACAGCACCCTATACTGCAGGGCAGGGCAGGGCAGGAATTCCTTGGATTCCAAATATGTTCTATTCTGGAGAGTTCAGTTCCAGAAAGTTCAAGTGGGAACATTTTACAAAAAGGGGGAAAACTTGAGACAAAAGGGCATGGGGATAAAAAAGTAAATTATTTGATCAATAAGGCTGCATTCACATGGAAAGGATGTCAATTCTTCACAGTAGGGGAGGGCATTTAAAATTGGGTTGGTACCAGGAAAATCCAATACCATCACATCTATTACTTAGGGTAAGAGGGAAATTTAGCAAAAATGAGGCCCTGAAATGTATGTCTAGTACTTACTAAGTCCTACTTTAAAAATCCTTTAATTCTAGAAGGATGATTTGTTGATACTAAAGTTTTTAAATATCTGAAATTCAAGTAGGCTGTACCAAATCATCTTACAGCAGAGCCAGCTAGCATCTCTACCCTTTTTGAGTAGGAGCTCCCACAATCTTGCAAACAGGTTGAAACTTCACTGGCGGTAAGGTCTATTATCATTTCAAAGTGGATGTCGGCTTCTCAGTCCCTCTGCTAAGCCATTTTAATAGGAATTGTTATCAGAGGACATGATCTAGAAATAGATGAAAATCAGAACCAAATGTTCATCTGCAAGACAAAACCCATTATCTTGCAGTCAGTCAAAAACAGATGCTAAATGAATGTGAACGCTCATCCCAAGGGGGTTAAACTTTCAATCAACACTGAAGCTTGAAATCATAGTCTTGTGAGGCTCCTTACAGCATGTTGCACGGTCCTGAGGACTGAAGAATCCACTCTTCGACTCCCTGAGCTCTGGATGCAGCACTCTTCAGATGACTGTGGAGTTGTTCTCAAAGAAACACACACCGCTTCACAACTGCCCTGGTTAGCTCAAGGCAGGCAGTGAAGGGCCAGGCTGGGATAGAGAAGGCTTTTAACTTAGATTATGGACACTGTTCTCTTCTGAAGCCTCTAGTCACTTCTACTAAAAATAAAAATAAAAATGTTCCATGTGGAACTTTATTAACTCTTGACAATACGGTGAATGACTAAAGATTCAACACTGTGCTAGCCTAGCATGCTCTCATAACAGTAACCCAGATGGGTATGTATGGCATAATCAGGACAGGCAGTCAAGATGGTAATTCAAAAAAACATCAAAATTATGAGGTATCAGGTATCAGATTTTCTAGGAAGACCATCACTGAAAGGTGTTAAGACAGAAGCTGACCCTCCTGTTTCTCTTTTGCCACTAGAGGTGGGCAAGACCAGGACGAGCTGAAGTGTGTTTTATGCTGGAGAGAAAGGGGATGTAGACTTGTAGCCTCTCTGTTCCCAGAAGCAACGAAGCAGCAAGAGTCACAAGACAGTGTGGGTCTAAAGTCCAAGGATGGAAACTCTGGCCTTTCAAGGTACCTTTCCAGGCCTATGACCCTCTAAGTGACTAGGCCTCCTTCTAGAATTTCTCTCATCTTTTACCGGATGACATCACAGTTAGGCATTTTATGTCATTCTGTTTTAATGTTTCTTTGCTATTCCCAGCCAGGAGAAAAAAAAGGTTTGGTGCTATGGGACCCGACAGGAAGGAGATGACAACCTGCTGCCCGCTCCCGGCGCTGCCTGACCTACGGGCCCCGGGCGGTAACCCCCTAGGTCGGTTCCTCCCAGGGCACTAAAATAATTCTCTTTTTGCTTCTAATGTAGTCCCATGATTTTATTTCTTAAGAAACTTGAGAAAGTTTACAGCTTTTGAAGTATTTGTCCATCCACTCAGTCATCTGCCCACCCAGGAGCTTTTAGGATCAAGTCAAAACCACAGTGTATCCACCGGGCTCCAGGGCAGAACCCGCATCCTCAGATGATTGTTGTTGCACACAGAAAATGAGGGAATACAACTAAGATGAATACCAGGGAGCTCCCAAGTGGCAGTTCCATTTTCATTCCTTCATAAAGATCATAAAAAGCCATCATTACTCATGGTTAGCAATACACACAATCATTGTGCTACACTGTAAACCACACCTTCTGATCGACAGAAAATGAGAATAATTATTATAAAATAAAATAACAATGATAATAATGCCATAACTTAAGATCTTTCATGTAGTCCAGCTACAGACTTTATACAAAATGGAATAATTTAATGCAAACAACACTGCTGTCTGTATAAGTTAAACATTCTCCTTCATCCACCCAAGAGCTATAAATTATAGACACTAAATTTTAAATCAATGTCTCAACATAAAGTGTAAACAAATGGAGGGATCAAACAAGCAAAAGGAACTGCTCTAAATTCCCTCCGCCTTTCCTTTTTGGCTGATGCAATCAGTGACACCGAGGGAAGGGGCTGCGACAGTTTTATCTGTGTTGGAAATAGTTCAATACCTGTATGTGTAAGTCTTTCCCAATGTCCACTATGATGCAGTGTCAAAGAGTTGAGCCAGGGTCTTCAGGTCTTGAGCCTAGAGAGGTTGTTTGACAGTAACCTTTCTTGGAGAAAGAGACGGAAACTAGGCCAACACCTGTTTTTATATAAAATTCTAGATAAAAATTTCCTTGAAGCCAAGGCACCATGAAGTACCTTGGGGTGCTTTTCAAAGCCCAGGACCCCGGAGCCAAGCAGAACCTCATGCCTTGGACAATGTCAGATCTTTCTAACTGCTGCTCGGCATCAGTTGTTCTTTCCAGAAATTTCCAAATCCAATTGTTCCAAACTGCATTGATCCGGAGTGCAGTAAAATACACCTTACAAGTTGCATTTAATCAAAATGCTGTTGTGGTGGGAAAGGGGTTGCCTTTCGCCAGTTGCTTATTTTGCCTTTATGCTGCTAGTGGTAGCCAGGCACTAAAGCTTCCCGGAGAGAATGAGTTAATGAATGAAAACGAGGGGGGTGGCTTGGGGTTGGACACTGGACAGACTCACACACATGCTAGCTGCCTTCAAAGTCTGTTCTGTTTGAATCAATATGACTCTAGTAGACAAGCAACCTGGTTCCACAGAGGGGCGGTCCCATCTTCTGCACAAAGTGGAACTGAGACACTGTTAGAATGTACTTTCACAAATTCCACATTTGCTTTTCTAATACTGTTGTAAATCCCCTTTTTCTCTTATCAGCACCCCACCCCTGGCCTTTTTTCCTAAAGGAAGTGGTCAACAGGTGCAAAGGAAATAGGCTACAAGAAAATGGCACTTGAGTCTGAAAAATCAACACACTGGTCAAGGTCACACATTTGTCAAGGTCATGACGATGACGGCATTAAAAAGGGAAGTATTTGTCAGAGACAAGGTTTGACTCTGTAAGTCTCACTACCAAATGCTGCTTCAGATTTTTAAAATGAAATCAGCTTCCACAGGTGTAGTTGTCTTTTTCCTCCTAGAGGAAGCACATGCCCTCAAAGACCTTCGGTGCAAGTATCTGGTCATCAATCTTTTCTAGGCCATTTCCATCACCCGTGTGGACAAGCTGGTTGAACTTAATGTGGTCTGTTCACAAGTTACCTGGAATTGCTTTTCCTTTGTTGTTCTTTGTTTTCTAAAATAATCCATATGTCTTGCTCTGGCTCTTCTTCAGCCACTTATGGCCAAAAAACTGGTCCCCTGTTCAAGTAGCAATAATACCTCCTGGCCCCACAAATTCCCAAGGATGTTGCTCCTAAATTCCACTTCTTTCTTTTCTTTCTTCCTTTATCTCTCTCTCACTCTTTTTTTTTTTTGCAAGAAATTATTGTCTCTCTCTTTCTATCATATATAGTTCACTCTTTACAGTACAAAGTGTTAAAATGTCAAACAAAAATAAATATCAATGTTACAGTAGCTAGAATATTCAATAAAATAGATCCCTGCCATTCTTGATTGAAATGTTCAGTGAGACTTAATTTCATTTGGATATTTTTTTCCAGAGATTTGCGAAGTCTCATGTTCCTGTTATTGCAGCTCATTTCTAGGGGTAAGAAAGATGGGGCAGCTCTCTTCCCAGACAAAAAAGCAAGGAGAGAGGGGAAAGAGTCTGGGGGGAGGGGGGAACGATCTGAAATGCCAGTATAGTCATGAGATCTTCAGGATGGGTTTTCCTCCATTACCAAGTAGCAGAGCTGTAATGTTTATTGGTCCTAACTGTGGCATCAGAACACTCTCCATCGGAAGAGTCACAGTCTGATTCTTCAAACTGCATAGGATTCTGCAAAGTCAAGACAAAATAAAACGTTAATCCGTTTGGGCAATCACTTAGTAAACATGTATCGGACACCTCCCACATGACAGGCACCGTGCTGGGTTGCTGGCTAAGATAAATGAGCCCAGGTCCCGCCCTTGCCGGGTTTCTGGAGAAAGAAGACCTAGACAGGTGATGACAGGGATGATGATGGCAGTTACAGCAGGACCACCTCAGCCCCGCTTGCAGAGTGTTGGCTATGATCTGGGCACTGCTGTAAGGGCTTTACGTCTAGAAATTCACTTAATCCTCACAAGCACTCTAGGAGACAGATGCCGTCATCCCTCCCCCTTGCAGACGAGGGCACTGACCCCCAGAGAGGTTAGCAGCTGGCCCAGCGTGGCAGCCAGGAGAGAACCCCGGCGGGGCTTGGCATGCAGGCCGTCGGAGGCCGGGTGTGCACTCTCGGCCACCCTGCTATCCTCCCTCCCAAGACAGGGACAGTCCTGTGCCGTGCAGGGCCTCGAGTGTCCCGGGTGCTGTGAGCGCGTCATCCAGGGGATGGTGGGGACATGGAGGAGCGAGACGGGCTCAGGGGCAGGTGATGTTTGACCTAACCTTAGAATGAAGGAGGCCTGAGCCATTCGATGTTGGAGCCTCACTTGGGAGACCTGCCCCTATTGGGGAGCTCTGTGTATCTCTGTACTCCACTTACTTCTTGCAGGCACCTGTTTTATCTCACATACTAAGTGATAATTGTAAAGGCTGTAGGGACCCAGGCACGCTCTGACCCCAAAGAGCTGCAGTGAGGAAAGGAGGAGGGAGAAGCCCCACCTCATAGCCACGTTCCTCTGCGCACAGCTTGCCCAGAGACATCTGCGTCTTCACGCGGCGCACAGCGCACTCCTTGTCAGAGAGCCCGTCCGAATGCGAGGATATCTCAATGGGGATCTCTGGCGTCTGGGACAGCAGGTCATCTAGCTTCTCCGCCAGGCGGTCTTCAAGTTTGTCTGCTAACTCATCAGGACTGTTGGAGTGGTCGCTGGTATTTCCCTCCTCTCCATCAGACACAGAGAAATTCTCAGAGCTAAAGGTGGAATACGACCGGCAGCTGCTGATACAGCGATGGGGCCTAGAACCACAAAGAACCAGAGGATCTTCATCACAGGCACACCTGCTGTTCTTCCCTTGCCTGTCAGTCATAGCCTCGCCGAGAGGTCATCTAGGTTTCTCCCGACCCCTGAGGGGGATTCGAATACAGATGGATGGACACTATTTAATTTTAAAGCAAAAGAGAAGGAAACGTGACTCGCCCTTTTCATTTGGTTCGTATGTTTATGTGGCTAAACACTATATTCCAAAGCCGATGGCTACCACTGGTCTTTGAAAACCTTAGCTGGTCGGGTCACAGCGTGGACACGCACGCACGCACGGTGTGGAGCTGTCCTGCTTCTTAGGCACAGACCTCCCAGATTCTTTTTTTTTTTTTAAAGATTTTATTTATTTATTCATGAGAGACAGAGAGGCAGAAGGAGAAGCAGGCTCCCAAGGAGCAGGGAGCCCGATGCGGGACTCGATCCCAGAACTCTGGGATCATGACCTGAGCCGAAGGCAGACGCTTAACCATCTGAGCCACCCAGGCGCCCCCCCAGACCTCCCAGATTCTTACACGTAAGAGAGTCTTGGGAGATTCTTGGCCTAACTCATTTCCCGAACATAAAACTGGAGCCAGAGAAGGAAAGTGGCTTGTTCCAGGCCACATCACCTGAGAATGCAGAGCTGCAGCTTGGGCTGGGTCTACTCAGAGCCTGCTCCATGTCATTCTCTACCTCTCCCTCGACCCCAGCTGCGTTGCCTATTGGGCATGGCAGCCCTGAAAGGCCAAGTGCCTTCGCCCTGTCAGCTGACCCCCAGCAGGGATGAGCTTGGAAGGAACACACACTCTGCAGCTGGGGGCACTGCCTCGTCAGTTAATGGCTCATTCCAGTTAACACGTGAGTTTAGCTCAGATGAGGCCAAATCTGTGGGGGGCAGGCAGGGGGCGGGATAATTTGCAAAAGTTCATTTCTTTCCCGTTGTTTATGAGTAGACTAGTAAATAAGAATGCTGTTAGCTCACATTGGTTTCAAAACAAAACAAAAATAATAAGAAGACTGCCTTTTTCCGCTGTCATTGTCTGATCTTTCTGTATCTCTTAGTACAAAGTGATTCTGATGGCATATGATCTGAGGCTTGCCACTGACCAGGCCAGGTGATAGGCTGAGGTTGGGAGGAGGGGGAAATCAAGGACACCTGAAAAGAGCCTGTGTGGGAAAGGGAAATTAAAGTAGGATTCATACAACATCTCAAGGCTGGTAACAGAAAGGGACAGGGAGAAAAATGTTATAATATGAAAAGCAAAACCATGCAGTAAAAACATAAATGTAATTTGCAGCTAAGAAGGGCAGGAAGCCATTAAGTGGGCTGAGTTCATGGTGTGTCATGGGAACAAAGCTGGAAGTAATGTAACTGTGATGTCAGTAGAGTGAGGTCAGAGAATGAAAAGACATTTTACTGGGATCCAATCTCACTGTGTAGGAGAAACCAAGGAGATAATAATGTAGCAACAGCAATGTGGCAAGAGTAGCTCAGGGGATGAGAACAGATTTCATTTTTGTGCAGTGTGGGGACCCAGAATACAATTTACCAAAGGAGTCTCTTGGTTTGCAGAGAATTCCTGTTTCTGGGCAGGTACACAAGCCTTCCTGGAGGGTTCTTAGAGCTCTACTCTTCAAGAACAGACCGTGTACTCACAGAAAAGGCTTTCTTGGAGGAAAACTAGCTTCCCTACTCCTACATGAAGGCAGCTCTTCTTCTAGAAGTAGGGGGATGTGGTCCTTCTTAAATTTAATCCTACCAGCAAAATTATTCTTTCTGGCTAGGCAGGAAGCTATTTTTAAGGCTGGGCTGAAGGACGACTCAGCCTAATTAATTATACTTAATTTGAGGCGTAATATCCAAAGGCATGGAGAGTACTATGGACTGAATTGTGTCCACCACCTCCCCCACCCCAATTCATATGTTGAAGCCCTATGCCTAGTGTGACTGAATCTGGACATAGGCTCTTAGGAGGTAATTAAAGTCAAATGAGATCATAAGGGTGCAGCCATAATCCCATGGGACTGTGACCTTATAAGAGGAAGATCCCTTCCCTTCCCTTCTGCACCCCTCTCTTCCCTACTACCCCTCTCCCCCCACCACCAACCCTGTAAGGACACAGCAAGAAGGCTGCTGTCTGCAAGCTAGGAAGAGAGTCCTCACCAGGAACCCCGATCCTGGACTTCCCAGCCTCCAGAACTGTGAAAGATAAATTCCCATTATTTAAGCCACCCAGCCCGTGGTATTGTGTTAGAGCAGCCAGAGAGACCAATACAGGGAGGTACACCGGAAACTCATCAAATTATCCACAAAACAGCATGGCCATCTCTCATAAAATGCCCACTCCATTCTCAATTGTAACCCTGAATCCGAATTTATGCTCCTTATCTTGAAGTTCCTAAGAAATGAGTTCTGATGAACTAGGATCCGCCAAGCATAGTGAGCGGCCAAAACGTGGCAATGGGAAAACAGGAATGTGAATTCGAATCTCCCGATAAGGTGGTTGTTCGAAGGTGACCTATGACTGAACAGGAGGTATGCCAAACTCAGGATTTTCCCCATTACCCAGAAAGCAGTACATGTGTTTGTTGGTTTTACCTCTGTCTTCGTGGAAATTCAACTTCACTATCTACTTCCCCTTCTTCCTCTTCTGAGGAGTCATCTCCACTCTGAGGAGAACAAGGAGAAAGTGTTTTATCTCAATCTGTCTCTCTCTCTCTCTCTCTCTCTCTCTCACACACACACACACACACACTCCTTGTAAAAGATTTAATTATAATCAGAAGGCACTGAATAGCAGTTTGCTGAGTGTCATCTTTAAACATATATATTTTCAGGAGAGGCTGGGTGGCTCAGTCGGTTAAGCGTCTGCCTTTGGCTCAGGTCATGGTCCCAGGGTCCTGGGATCGAGCCCCGCATCGGGCTCCCTGCTCAGCGGGGAGCCTGCTTCTCCCTCTACCTGCCGCTCCCCCTTGCTTGTGCTCTCTCTCTCAAATGAATAAAATCTTAAAAAAAAAATAAACATACATATTTTCATTCAGCAACCTTTCCTCGGTGTCCATGAGGACAGGGTCTGTCCTAGATGCTGGAAGACACATAGAACCGAGTAAACGTGAGTTTTGCCCTCCAGTAAGTAAGGACTCCATGAAACTATCCAAGGTGAGTGACGGGGAGGGGAAACTAGAGAGAAGGTCTTGGATTTGGGGGCAGTCTCTTGTAATCATTGTCATTCATGGTTCCAGGCCCTGACATAGGGACTCCACCAAGAAGTGATCTTTCAGTTCTTCAAAACCCAACAATTACTTTTTCCCTTCTATGTACCAATCACCTTTTCACTAATATTATAGTTACGATGCTCATTTGCACTGCTAAGGCATACATTATTTGAGGGTCAAACCATATCTTGTACTGTATTTCTCATTTCACCATGAATACAAAACAGGTGTGTAATGCATTATGGAGTCAGCATGTTGGTAAGGGTGATGGAGCTCTGGTTGGGACATCTGAGGCCTTGGGATTGCCAGGGCTCTGTGATTGATCTGGAAGGCTGGGTAAGTGTCTTGTCTGAGAAGATGATCTTCCTTCACAGGGAAGAGTCCATCTCTCTTTGAGAACATAAGAAGAGCCAAACTTAAAATCAACTGCCCTTACCCACAGAATCATGATGCACTGGATTAGTACCATCCATTGTGAGGTGGGTAACTGGGTCCAAGTAATTATACCAAAGGTTGAGGATAATTTACTTTTAAAGTCAGTTTTAATATACCATCACTCATCCATTTGTATTCTGATATGCTTTTTTGAGTAGAAAGGGCAGGCATGGGGTTATATTGACTGCCAAGATCAACATTTACCCGAGGCACCGTGGAAGTGGATCTCGGTCAAGAGAAGTTGAATTGCCTTGTGGGAATACTGTTCCAATGAGGCCAAATGTATAGGGTGTGCGCTCCCTGGCCTGCCAGCCCACAGAGTGCATCAAAATGGCATCAGAATAGTTCAAAGATACATGTTACTCGAGAGCGGACTGGGATGACTGCTAAAGGGTACAGGGTTTCTTTCGGGGATGATGAAAATATTCTAAAATTGGTGATGACTGCATAACTGTGAATAAAAGAACTGAGTGGTACATTTAATGGGAGAACTTTATGATACATGAGTTATAGCTCAATAAAGTTGTTACCAAAAAAATACACGTTACTGGCCATATAGGGATGGGGAAGCAGAGAACAGATTAACCCAAATTCACCACCCAAAACACAATTTAATCTCTGGGAATGCTTTGTCAGCAGCAGCACTGTATGTTGGGGAAGAAATACAGTTCTGAGACAGTAGCTCTGAGCCTCAACTTTTTTTTTTTAATTGAAGTATAGTTGATTTACAGTATTATATTAGTTTCAGGTGTGTAACATAGTGATTCAACAATTGTATATATTATGCTCTGCTTGCCAAAATAAATACAGTTATCATCCGTTACCTTACACAGTTATTACAACGTTATTGACTATATTCCCTATGCTTTACTCTTCACCCCTTGTGAGTTATTTTGTAACTGGGAGTTTGACCCTCTTAATCCCCTTTACCTATTTCACCCATTCCCCCCCCTCCCCTTTGGCAACTACTCATTTGTTTTTCATATTTATGAATCTATTTCTAGGTCTGTGTGTTTGTTCATTTGCTTTGTTTTCTTAGATTCCACCTGTAAATGAATAATATGGTATTGGTCTTTTTCTGACTTATTTTGCTTAGCATAATACCCTATAGGTCCATCCATGTTGTCATGAATGGCAAGATTTCATTCTTTTCTATGGCTGAGTATATCCCATTGTATATATGTATGAATGTATGTCTACACACACACACACACACACACACCCCACATCTTCTTTATCCATTCATCCATTGATGGTTGTTTCCATATCTTGGCCATTGTAAACAATACTGTAATAAACACAGGGGTGCATATATTTTTCCTAATTAGTTATTTTGTTTTCTTTGGGTAAATACCCAGAAGTGAAATTACTGGATCACATGGTATTTCTATTTTTAATTTTTTGTGGAACCTCCATACTGTTTTCCACAGCGGCCGCACCCAGTTTGCATTCCCACCAACAGCGCACACGAGTTCCCTTTTCTCCACATCCTCTCCGACTTGTTATTTCTTGTCTTTTTGATTCTAGCCATCCTGACAGGTACGTCAACTTCTTTTAAACGTCTAGTTGACTGAAACATACTCATTTACATTTTAGACCCTTTCATTCCTTCAACGGCACTCCTGATGAGATGCAAGAAGCAATGCTGACGAGATGAAGCAATGCTGAGAACTGAGTGGGTGTTTGCGCTGTACTAAACACTTTTCATACATAATCTTATTTTTAACTCATTAGCAAGATGAGCTAACATTTTTGGAAGGTTGTTACGTGCCAGGTCCTGTTCACTATGGTAGATTGCCTCCAAGCTAATAAACCCTAGGCAGCCAGTGGGTGAGGAGGAGAGGAACAGGTTTCAGTGATAGAGACCTCACTGGGTCATGATGGTTATTCATAAAGGCAGTGTTTTCCAAAATATATTGGTTTTTAAAAATCTTTTATTTTTTCTTAAGTAAGCTCCACACCCAACGTGGGTCTTGAACTCATGACCTCAAGCTCGAGAGTCACATGCTCTGCTGAGTGAGCCAGCCAGGCACCCGACCAAGATACATTGTGAAGAAAGCTAGTTCCATGGGGTATTAATAGATGTTATTTTTAAAGCCATTACGGCCAAATAGGTAAAGGAAATGCTGGATTAAACAAGGAACTGTATGATTTTTTAAAGCTTAGGATTTGTCGATGTGCACTAGGAATCTCCAAGAGGGGACAGAGAATACTATGTTTTTCAAACTTGTTTTATAATGGGATCCTTCCTTCTTGCAACATCCATCAGGACTAAGCTAGGGTAGTTCTAGTTTTGATTACATATCCCTAGTATATGGTTATTTATCTATTTCTAAATTAGATACATTTGAATCAGTCCTCTGGTTCAGTAGTTCCTAAAGCGCAGTCTCTAATCTATCCCTTAAGCAGTGGGGCGAGAGAGTATTGAAAGTCAAAGAAACCTCTGTTCATGCTTTCATCATCTCTTCCTTTTACAAAATGGATGCATGATGCAGGTTTTCTAATGTGCACAACGTGACAGGCTCTGACATCCCGTGCTGAGGCTGTCATTACAGCTTACCTTTTGCAGGGGCCTTGTGTTTCGAGGTAGCATTGGGGGGGTGATGTGATGAGGGATGCCAAGGGATGACGCAGACCTACAGCCTTTGAATTCATTTTCTTCCATTTCCTCAGAACCTTGGGCATCTTCCGAGAGGGGATTGTGTGCTGGTGACTTGAAAAGGTCGGGGCTCCTCCCCACTGGCTCAGCAGAGGGTATGTCTAGGGACCCACACTGTTCTGGCCTGCACTGGAGGCAGGGCTCATAAGGCTCAGCCTGACAACAGCCCCAGGGGCCGGCTGGGCCCTCGTCGGGATCGGAGCTTCTCCAGCAATCTGCTGCCATGGCCGTGGAGATGAGATCAGGGCTGGAGCCAGGCATCTGTCTTTGAGCATGGTTGCTGAGTGGGCTCCGTAGGGCTGCTGCTGGGCCAAAATACCTCAGGTTGTTGGCGCAGGTCGCAATGTCCTGTCCGTGCATATTGAGTCTGGGATGGTGACTCTGAGACACGGCAGGAGGGGCTTGCTGGTACTGCCGCTGCGGAGGATGATGGTGATGGGGAGAAGGGTACTGGGACGGAGCGTGGTGTAGATAAGTGGGATGCGGTGAATTTTCCTGCGCTGGCTGGTTTTTCAAGATCCCTGCAAAGTCACCATGGCTGCCTCTGCTATTCCCTCGGCGGTGGCGTGGTTTGCTCCGATAGCGGCTCTTGCTGCTTGAGGTGGACATTTTGGGACTTCCGGACAAAGGGGATGCAGCGGGAGCCACCTCCACACTGGGGATACCTTCAGATCTCAGCAGATCTGGCCTGGGAGGGAAGGAAAGATTTCGTTCTAAACAGAAGAAAACACATTCAAGTTGGGGGAAATATAACCCAAACCTTAAAATACACACACCCCTTGAAACAGGAGGCACGTATGCAGAGATTTATCCAATGGAGATGACAGATGTGCACGAAGATGTGTATTTCCAAGATGTTAATGTTATATACTATAGTTTAAAATAGCAGAAAATTAGAAACGACGTAGATGTCCACCTATAGAGGAGTTCCTTCATTCCTTCTGGATTTTATTCTGTGCCTGACTAGCTGAGGTACCCAATCCCCTTTACATTATAATTCTACCCTACAGGTTTCTCGATCTCTTCCTTATAACCTCAGCTATCAGCCCAGTGCCAACATGCCAAGGCAGAGGCAAAGGTTTGCCCACGATCAGGAATCTGTGTGATGATGGATCTAGAGGGATCCCACAGAAGATCACAAATCACAAGGATCTGGCACAAGAGAAGGAAACCTCAGGTTAATTAGGCAAGAGGCTAAATTCAGGGACTTTGGTCTAGACATGGTCTCCTTGAGGTCTGGGACTCTGTCCATCCATCTGTGTATGGGAAGGACACTAGCAGGGAGCCTTGCTCACACTCAGTACTCAACCATGTTTAAGGAAGTGGGGAAATGGGGTGGGGACTGAGGAGAGGGAAACAGTACAGAGCCTGGGAGGTTGGACAGAGCCATCAAGAGAAGGGCTTGTGAGGAGTGGCCTGGCATGGTCCTGGCTCCTCTCCTAGTCCTGTTGTCGGGTGCTCCCTGGGCTGGTCATGCAGATCATGTGCAAGAGCGAGCCAGAGCACACACTGATTTCAGGGTGCACAGGTAAACAATAAATGGTTTCTGAACCGAGGGATGGTACAGACGGAGACTCGAGGACACCAGAGAGCGCCACTACCGCCTTCCTTCTCTGGAACCAAACAGACACAAATCTTCAGATTACAGAGCTCAAGGACCCAAACTTTTTTTTTTTTTTTTAACAACAGAATCCTTTTCTCAAATGAATTATGAGAAACTCAGTATATAAAATAGATACAGTAAGAGAACAGGCTGGTGGTTGCCAGAGGTGGGGGGTGGGGGAATGGGTGAAATGAAGGAAGAGGGTCAAAAGGCATAAACTCCCAGTTATAAAATATCTAAGTCCAGGGATGTAACGTATAGCACGGAGACTATAGGTAATATACAGTTGCCCCTTGGATAATGTGCACGGTCAAAAAGCCAGGTATAACTTTTGACTCTAAAAAAACTTAAAAATAGCCTACTGTTGACCAGCTGCCTTACTGATAACATAAACAGTCGATTCATACATATTTTGTATATTATATGTATTATATACTGTATTCTTAAAGTAAGCTAGAGAAAAGAAAATGTTAAGAAAATCATAAGAGAAAACACATTTTTGGTACTGTATTGCAAAAAATTCACATGTAAGCGGAACCGTGCAGCTCAAACCTGTGTTGTTCAAGAGTCAGCTGCACCACATGGCATATCTGAAAGTCTCTGAGACATCGCAAAAGTTCTTAGCACAAGAAAAAATATATAACTATTTGTGGTGATGAACGGATGTTAACTAGACTTGTGGTAATTATTTCATAATATATATGTATATTGAGTGGTTATGTTGTACACCCAAAACTAATATAATGTTATATGTCAATTATATCTCATACTCCCCCCCCACCCCCGCCCCAGATATAGTGGGACAGTTGGTGGGGGGAGAGCAGAAGCCCCTCCTTGCTGGGCTCCCCCTCCTTGTCCTCTCGACTTCTGCAATAATCCCTGACATCTCTCTGCGAGCCCTAGGGTGTCCCAGACCTCGCTTGAAAACCACAGATACAGTCCCACCTCTACCTTACGTGATGAGGAAACCGAAGCCCAAGGTGGCTCATGGTCTCATAGTGCATTACCAGCAGAATCGAGACAAGAAGTCTCTCCTAATCCCCAGACTGGCTTATTGGAGATTCAGAGGACAAGCTTAAAGGTGCCGACAAATCACTCGGGGCTTATTAAAATGGTTGAGTTGGTCAGGTCTAAGATGGGGCCCAAGAGTCCACATTTCTAACACACTCTCACGTGATGCTGAACTGAGGACCACATGTGAACAGGAAATGAGTCAGCATCAGGCTGTAGGAGATGTGTTTTTCTTCTTTTTTTGGGAGAACAGTTAAAGGCTTGTCTTAGCACAGAAGTCCCAGGTAATACTGGTATATGACAAGGTGGGCAGAGTATTGTCTGCTGTGAGCATCTTCCTGTCTCAGGTTCATGGTTCTGTGGTCAGCTGGCCACCTTGTGCCACAGAAAGTCTGTGGACTGAGGAGGTCCTGGGGCTTTTATTGAGGCAAGAGAGCCCTCCGAGGCCCAGTTAGGGGCGTCTACTTACACAGCGACTAGCTATGGTGGGATCTAGAAGAGGGTTGAGGTGAAAGTGTCCTAAGTCAGGTGAAGCCTGCTTTTATTGAATCTGGCAGTGCAAAAATCACAGAATAACAATGATACAGCACTTCACAGTTGACAAAGCACTTTACAGTATATAAAACACTTATTTCCTACTATTCATTTTTCCAATATTCATTTTACAGATAAAGGCACTGAGGGATCTGAGAGGTTAATTGGCTTGTGTCCATCACAAAGGAAGTAAATGGCAGAACTCCTAACTTGCACCCAAGTCTTCTGACATTAAGGAATAGTTCTTGCCCCATTCCAAGCCTCTCCTTATTATGAGTATTTAGACTATTGTATTGGATTACACTCACTTGTAACAGGCTTTGTGGATCCATAATTGAGTCTGATTCTCTTCTTTTTAGTCCCCAGCTGAACCCCCATTGACACTTAGGCCAAAGGATGGTGGATGGTTTTCCCTCTCTGATCTCCTCCCAGGTCACTGGACTTCTGACTTAATCACTGGACTGTCCAAATAATCTGTAACTGACATCCTCCAGGGGCCAATCAACTGAGAGCAGAACTCTTTGCAGCTCAAAGACCCATTCCAGGTTGTCTTCCTGCATGAGCTCAGTCGGCTTGTCCACTAAGCATCTGCTGGTGATGGCAAACTCTTCCAAACATATTCCTCACAGCGAACATTAAAAGTAAACATGAGCTCACATTTTGAAAAATGAAACAGTACTATTTTCTCCTCCAAAGCTCTTAGTTTTAACTGTAGCAGAATGCAGGGAGGAGCCAGCAGGTGAACTCAGTCTCCAATTAAGACATTAAAAGAAAGAGGTGTTGGGATCCTCAGAGGGTTTTGCCAGGTGCCATCTGCAATTTCTCAGAACTTGACTAGAAGGTGATCAGGGGTGGGAAGTAAAAGCAAAACTGGAATTAATCCATGTAATTACTCTTTAGTAGTTTAGATTTATATTAGTCATGCTATGGTAGCATGGCCGCCATTCTGGAAGCCTTAAAATACATTCTTTGTTTGCATTTTGTCATTACCTTTATTCTTACTGCATTTTGCGGTAGACCATTGGGTCTACACCCCAGGTTGTAGGGACATTTCTTTCCTTTACATTAACTTGGCTAGAATAGAGTCCACTCTCCACTCTTTGGGAGGAATGGGCATCTAGTAGAGCCTGATAATAAAAACTGACTGGAAGAGCATTCTAATATTAAACTAGTATAAGGAAAATGCATTGTAAAGGAAAGGGCAATCTTTCTTCTTTTTTTTTTTTTTTTTACTATTCAAAAACTCATTTTTTAGCACCTGTGATTTGTAAGGTGATTTCACATTTCTCTTATTTAAACTTCAGAGAAATCCCATGCAGGAATACAATGAGGGGCCCTACATGGTTAGGTATAGGTAATTATCAAAGCCCCTGCTTTTGTTTTTTGGCGGTGGATTTACAGGCACTTATTACATTATTAAAAAGAACTAAATGAATAAGTAAAAGTGAGACACACATGGATCAATGTTGCATAAAACAAGAATTATGATTAACCCAATTCTGTGCACTAGGAGTCAAAAGGAGAAAAAGAAATCTCATGTGTCATCATTATACCATTTTACCCATGGGGCTGAAAGAGGTCAAGTGACATGGCCCACATCATACAGCTTATGATAATAATTTGAATCCACGTCTGCCTGGTCCTCAGTTTATTTCTCTTTTCCCTCTGCCATGCTAAGACAATAACTATCTACATCTCAGAGAGTAAAAACTAGATTCCTAGAGTTCATGACCCATCCTCTCACTTTTTTTTATCTAGAGGCAAGGGTGCCTGTGATGAGCTACAGAGTGGACACACCATCATGGGATAATGTATTTTTGGGGGGATATTTTCCCATTTCTCTGAATGTCAGGTTGGCACAGGTGTCTCACCGTTTGGTCTGCATCCCTGATTTATGAGGCGTGCCTTTCCTCTTCATGAGTTTCTCCATGGCATTGGGGTGGATTATTGGACGGACGGGGTGTCGTTTGTACGTTCCAGGATACTTCTTTTCCACTGCTTGCTCACGCCTGCAGAATGAAAGGAAGAGCCACAGCTCAGTCACTGCAGACAGAAAAGATGGGCAGGATGTTTTCACAGGCTAATTCCACTCACAGATTCTGGTCACCCTTAACAGAGATACACTATTTGAATAACAACACTACAATTCAGGTTAAAAGGAAAAAAAAAAAGATGCTCAATTCAACTAATCTGACTTCACTGTGCTCTTCCACTCTCTGGTGCACTCAGGGGCTGACCTTCCCTCCCCCAACATACCTCATGAGAAGCACAGTGCAATGGTAGAGGACCTACTTATTTGCAGTTATTGTTTTGGTCGGGACCACTGACCGGGGTCTCCTGTCATCGTCAAGAATCCCTTAAACCACTTTCCTCAGCCACCTTATTTCCCCAGGGGGCAAAATGCTCCCCCTCATCCATGCCAAGCTTTTCTTGAGATGAGGATCCCTTCTTGGAGCCCTTTGGCAGGGTGAAGTTGCAAATGTTGGTCAAGTGCACATTCCTCTATAACAAACTCTACAGCAACTCCACCCAACTGAAACTTCACCGAGGAAGGGACCTGGGCACAGCACATCCCTTAAGGAATGCTGGGTGAATGAATAAAGTATCTGCCATTTTAGGTTTGAGTAGTAGCAACATGGTGGAACAGTATTTGGGCTGACTGATAGACCTGACGCAGGAAGGACAGACAGAAGTCTGGATACATACTTAATGAGCTCCTTCTCCCGCATTTCTAGCTGCAGCATGATAGCACTCAGTTCCATGTATAAATTATTAGCCCGCTCAAGTTTTCTCTCATAGTGTTCACGAATATCCAGAGCATGCCTATCAAAGAAAAGAGAGGATCAGCGAAGCTGACTACCCTGGGGGAGAACAAAGAACAGGTCTAATGAAGTAAGAACCAGGATGGTTTATGTCAAAAGCATTTGTCTGAGGGCTGTCTAAATTTAAGGATCCCTTGTCTGATGTAACGACTCGGACAAGATGGAGTGGGAGTTGGGAAACCAAGCTTTCCCTTGGGTTATCCTCCGGGGCCACACCCAGCCATACAGAATAGCCAGAAGGAGGCACAGATAAAAATCAGATTGTGATTTGTGTATAATATGTAGCCTTTGTCTGTGTAGCAATGACAATACCTTAATAAGAATACAGTATAATATACTCATGTTCATGGAAATATGCAATTAAGGCCGACCCCCTGACCCTGTTCTTATCTACGGCACAGATCCTGCCTAATATCATGGTTATCTACGGCTACATTTTGTACCCCTCAATCAGTCATAAGTATCTTGGGACCAGGAACTACATCTTATAAAGCGCTGCCTTCCACGCCACCTTGGAGGGGCACCGAATGAAGAAAGAGCATGGCTCCAGGAGCGCTGGCTGCAGAGATATATTAAAGGAGGATAACAAGGTTACAGGGAGCGGGTGGGACAGTGGGACAAAGGAGGGCTCACTTTGGGGGCAACTTGTAAAGAGAATTAACAGGAAGTAGCAGAGGTGAAAGGTGTGTAGAAGGTGAAATGGTGATTTGCAAAGTGAGTTCCCGCCAGTATCTGCAGGTCTGGGGATGAGACGAGGTGGAGAAGGAAAGAGCAGCCCACCTGAGCTCTTCTCTGCGCCTCCGAATCAGTTCTTCATCTAATCGGTGGATACAAGTTCCCTCACTTTTGATCTTCTCAAAGTGTTTTTTCACCTCTTCTCTCCATTCAGCCTGGGTGAGGACAAAATAGAATTTGTTAGTACTCGAGGAGTTTCAGCCCCTGATATAACCATAGGGTCAGGGGCAGGATGGTATTCCCCTGCATGTTTTCACTGAAGAGCCTTACGGAATAAATGTTCAATAAATATTAGTTGATAGCAAAATGGCTCATGCTCCTGTATCTGCACCGCCCCCCACCCCCCACACCATGACCTCATTTTCTGTATTTAGTCCAACATGGGATGCCATCTCTTTTCCAGTTTCCTTGCCATACTGGCCACCAGAAATATCACAGCCGGCATACTGGCCATCGCCTCTGGAACAAGAGAGCTCAGTTTTAAGTGAAGATGGTGGCTGAGACGGCCTGGCCAAAAAGAGAGCTCTTCTAACCACCTGGTATAAGGACGTGCCAGTAAGAATATGATCGTGTTTACAATTGGCACCAGAAGTTCTCTTTGGTTTTGTTTATGAAAATATCTTGGGGCGCCTGGTGGCTCAGTCGGTTAAGCGTCTGCCTTCGGCTCAGGTCATGATCCCAGGGTCCTGGGATCGAGCCCCACATTGGGCTCCCTGCTCGGTGGGGAGTCTGCCTCTCCCTCTACCTCTGCCTGCCCCTCTCTCTCTGTGTCTCATGAATAAATAAAATCTTAAAAAGAAAAAAAGAAAATATCTTGAAAAAATATTTGGAGTAGAAGAACAGGGCATGAACAGCAGGACTTGGGAATAAAAACCCAGGGAATTCTACAGGAATTGGGGGGGGTGAGGGAAAGAACAGGAAAAGAGAAAGAGGAGAAAAAGTATGGCTACACAATGTAGTAGTTTGACAAAATTTTTAGAATGGGGATGAATACCTAATATGTGATTTCAGTCATTCAAAATGTAAGCCTCTTCCAATTTCCAAAAACTTTAGTAAAGTCTCTGACATTCACCTTGACTTTGGACGAGCGTTCTGTTTTTTTAGACATCAAGAAGAGGTGCTGAACTTCACGTTTGGGTCAATGACAGGATAAAGGTAAAGGAACAACCACAAGATGGTGGGGATGGGGCCCCAAAATTTTAGGAAGGCCGAGTGAGAGTGACAGTGAAATTATAAATCCCCCAGGAATTCACAGACTATGTTAGGACGCTGGGATTTCCACAAGGCACGGAATTCCAAGCCAATTTCATCTAAATTTTAGGGGTTAGAAAAACCTCTGCTGGAATATAGTCTACAGACAGTTTGTAGAAAACAGCTAAAGGAGATGCTTCCTCAAATTACATATAAATTGCAGTCACAGGAAGCTAATGAGATTAAGATAATTTCCAGTGAAGGCTAGATGTATAACTAAATGCCTCTATTTATTCTTCCTCTGGAGCTATTCTATTACCTTGAGATTCATGTTTAAAATGATTTCTCTAGATCATGGAAGAAGTCATGCTTAAGTAATTGTGAAATTACAGAAGGTTTCTCCCCAAAAAAAAAAAAGTTTTTTTTTTTTTTAGGATTTTATTAATTTTTGACAGAGAGAGAGAGCATAAGCAGGGGGAGTAGAAGGGAGAGGGAGAAGCAGACTCCCTGCTGAGCAGGGAGCCTGACGTGGGGCTGGATCCCAGGACCCTGGGATCAAGACCTGAGCCGAAGGCAGACGCCTAACCGACTGAGCCACCCAGGCACCCCTCTCATTTACTTTTATAAAGGAAATCATATTGTAATTATTTAGAAAGTGATCATCCTGCTTATCTGCTTATAATATGCTAGATCTTCATATATATATATATATAGAGAGAGAGAGAGAGAGACTGACCATTGGAGAAAGATTTCTGTCAGTCAGTTGACTTTTGGGACCAAACCTGCCAAACAACGTCATCAGAAAGTAAAGGTCATCAGAAAGTGAAGGTCATCAGAAACTCAGATCCAGAATGAGCTGCCCATTGTTTGGTGACAGTATTAAGCAATGAATGCAAGTTTGGTTGAGCCTCCAGTAATGCTATTCTTGCAATCATCAGATCAAAGTCTGAAGGAAGAATACCTGAGCTTTAAGAAGCCTAAGACTGACAATCAAGAGTTGTTAGACCAAAAAAAGGTAAGGGAGAGGGCCAGGTTTGGGCCTTAAAGTGTCCTCTTTTATGCAAAAACGTATCTGTAGACACCAGTACAATACCTAAAGAAAGAACCAGGAAAAGGAATATCTCCCTCTGGTGGTCAGGAATCAGCTGTCACAGAACAGATTTTTTTTTTTTTTTTTAAATTCTTGAAAATCTTGAGGAAATAAATCTCCTAATGTCTAGCTTATGGGAATGGAAATAAAGAGAACCTTTTGAAGATTGAATATTGAAAACTATTAAAAAAGTAGATTTTCAAAAAGAAGTCCCCCCACCACCACCATGAAGAGGGAACAGGATGTTTGGGAAAACCCCAGGACCTGATTCATAATGTATTTCCCCCAAAGCTATGGTGTTACTGTAAGATGTTAATTTTGGAGTTCCATCATGCTTAGAATCTTTACATAATAGGAGCTCCAATTTGCACTTAATCTTCAGTTCAGACATGTCTGGACATATCTGAAGAAATGGAAGGTGGGTAGGCCGGAAGCCAGTTTGCACAGAGACCGAGGTGCCTCTGAGAGAAAATGCGGCACGAGAGAAAGGAGAAATCCTGCATGAACCTAACCTATAACAAAACCACCATCATAGGAGTGGAGGAGCATTTCCCAGTGTTTCATTAAAATATCCGTAAAACACTGGGCCATAACCAGCACTGCTCTGTTACCTTTAACCAAGTGTAACTCAACAGAGAAAGGAAGAGTTCATTGTATAAATAGAACAATGTGCAGCTTTGGAATCTTGAGGAGTCCAGAGCTTTAGTTACAGGAGGAAATGGCAGCTCCTGATGGGTGAGGGCAGTGCCTTAGGATATGGCGGCATCCAATGGATGCCAGCTGGGCCTACGGTCTTGTAGCAGAAAACAGAGCTAACCCACAAGGTAATACCTCACAGACACTAGCAGGAGACTGCTGTGTCAGGCCAGTCAGTGGAAAGCAGAGCAGATGTTACTATGAGGTTACTGAGATCCCCACTCTTCCCTGGGGATTCCTTCCAAATGCATGTGAAGGGGTGAAAGGAGGGAGTAGAGGGTGCTTCACAAGGTATTCAAGTCCCGGGGAAGCAGATAAGGGAAAAATCCAGTGAAACTTGGGTTTTTACCATTAGTGGGATCCTTTTTATGTCCTAGATAAGGCCTGGGAAAGGCCATCCCATTTAAAAGGTTTTCGTCTTCTACAGCCTTCCAGTTATTCAATCAGTAGATTGAACAGGTAAATTCAGAGAGACAGAAAGTAGAACAGAGATTACCAGGGGCCAAGGGGAGGAGGGAATGGGAAATGACTGCTTAATGGGGTGATGAAAACTTTTGGAAATAGTGGTGACAGTTTCACAATGTTGTCAATTTAATTAACGCCACTGAACTGTACACTTCAAAATGGTTAAAATGGCAAATTTTGTTTTATTCATATTTTACCGCAATTTTTTAAAAAGGAAAAAAAGAAGTGGAGCCAGTTCCAGCCTAGCTGGAGGAATAGAGAAGCAGAATGTTGGGGGGCTAAGTAGCAGGAAATCAGAGATTCTGAGTCAGAAAAGACTCAAGAGGTCATCAAGTCCAACCCTTGACTGGCACAGGAATCCTCTTTACTCCCTTCCCGGGTAAGTGCCCAGCCTCTACCTAAGGACCTACTTGCTCGTGATGAAATTGTTCTTTTTTTTTTTTCTTCAGTTTTAAAAATTTATTTAAGTAATCTCTCTACCCCACATGGGGCTCAAACTCATGACCCCGAGATCAAGAGTTGTATGCCCTTCCAACTGAGCCAGCCAGGGGCCCCATGATGAGATTACTCTTAAGGAGTACAGTCTGTCCCTATAATGAACTTCGTGCATCTGCAATTCCCAGCTCCTGAATTTCTGGGTGGTCGCAGTGGTACTCGAAAGGGAACCAGACTGGTGCAAAGCAGAGTGTGGGGGAAGAGCTTAGAAGCAGGGCACAAGGCCCACCTAGCAGTGGGGACGTGGGACCCCGCTAAAATGTTTTCTAACAACTGATATCCAGTTCTGGGGTGCCTGGCTGACTCTCAATCTCAGGGTTGTGAGTTCAAGCTCCACATTGGGCATAGAGCTCACAAAAAAAAAAAAAAAAAAAAAAAGAAAGAAAGAAAAAGAAAAAGACTGATAGCAAATGCAATTGAATACCAGGAGCACTAGTTGCCTGCTTGGAGAAATAGGTTACTGTGTAGGAATGAGAAGCAGCTTTGGCAGAACGGAATATTGTAGTGGAATCGGTTGCTGGGTTCATCTGTGCTATAGAAGCTGCTGAGAAACAGCGGAAGCAGCTACTCTCAGGAAGGAGTCAGCTGGGCTCCTGGCAGAACTCCGGACGGAGAAAGTGGAGACTCGTGGATTCCAACCACGGACAGGTAACTGATGTGGACCGGGCTCTGTCAGCAGGCAGGGGGTGAGGAAGCCTCAGGTATGAGACTGCAGACTAGCAAAACCAGGTGCTAAATAGTCAGCTCTGTCCCCATCCGAGTGGCATCGAGTCAAAGCACCTTGGAGAGGAGTCCCCCAGCTGCCACTTTGTCCATCTCAGGAGTTCACCAGAATGTAACAACCCAAAGGAGGCTTCATTTCTGTAGCTTCGTGGGCAGTGAATAACATCTTACAATCGAGCAGTTCTTTAGTTTCCAATACAGTTGCATTTTTATCTTCTCATTTGGTCCCAGCTAAAACCCCATAAGGAAGAGAAGACACGATCATCTTCATGGTTTTTTTGATGAGTATGCTGAGGTTTAGAGATTTTAGTGATTTATCCAAGATCATAGGACAAGGGGTAGACTCATGTCTGTTGCTTTTCTTAGTACTTCAGTAGTTAGTTCATAAAAACTTTATCAGTAGCCAGAGAGGGTCTGAATTTCAGACCCAGAGACAAACCAGCTTGTAAGTACCTGAAATAATCCTAGGAACTGGCACACATAGCAGATTTGGAGCTATTTAAGGAGAGGTAAAATTTTATGTTGGGAGAAACATGTGGAAGAATTAATATTAAAAGATGCCCAGTGTACTGTGTTCCCCTTCCTCTCCTTCCTCTTTCTCCCCACTTCATATTCTTGCTCCAAAAGAAACTTTTCTGAGTTCAATCTTACTGCTGCATGTATTGGTAAACGTGAGTTGTACAAATGAGGGTACTGGATGTGGGCGCTTAGCTGCACTACACAGTGCTTTGCACACAGTGGGCACTCAGAAGATGTGGCACTGGCTTCAGGAGTGACATTCTGGGAGCACTCAAGTAAACAATGTTTCCAATTTGAAGTTTTCCAAGTACACAGTTATACTGTCTCAATGGCTTGTGACTTAGTACTCTCACCAAAAACTGCTTTTCCAAACTGTGGTATGCATACTTTTATGGGAAAGGAAGCAAAGCTGTAATTGCAACTGTATCCTAAAGTTTGAAAGATTCCCTAGAAAGTACTCACTATTCTCTTTCATTTCACAAAAGGGCCTAAGTCTTCTTTTGAACACGAACACATAGAGATTGGACAGATGGCTTTTCTGTGCCCCAGACTTACACATATTTGAATAGATAGGCAATAGTGTTAATAGTTCTCAAGAAGTTTATCTGAATTTTTAAAGCCGTAAGTCTGGAATGATCTGTAAGACAGTAAAGGCTAACAGGTACATTAAATTACATTTTACCTGGTGCTAATAGGTGACACATAGAGTTAGGGGAAAGGTTCTCTCTGGGCCTAATTCTATCCTGGGCTCTCTGGTCCTTAACTTACCTCCACCGTACTTTAGATTTTTCTCCTTCAAGGGAACAAGGGAAGCAACCCTTTCATGAAGGTTGGCAGTAACTTTTTTTTAAGTCTTTTTTTTTTTTTTAATTTAAGTAATCTCTATACCCAACATGGGGCTTGAACTCACAACCCCGAGATAAAGAGTCTCATGCTCTTCCAAATGAGCCAGCCAGGCGCCCTGGTCAGCAGTAATTCCAATTCAAATATATTTCTCTTTTCTCTTCAACAATTTCACCACCCTGAGGATGACATTCTGATACATGTTCCTTTCAAATGAGATAACGATATATCTTAAGTGTTTAAAAAACTCCAAAATTTCCCATGTGTGAGGTATCACAGCTATTGCTTCACAACGGCTAGAGCTCTAGAATTGCCACAAGAATCAGAATGGTTCTAAGCATTCCTCTTTTTCATCAAGAGTTCCCCGGCTGCGTGTTCAGTACACCAGAGGAGAGCTTCCAGACTTACCTGAGACTTGAAGTAGGTTTCCTGTGGGGTAGCAAGAACGTCTGCAGAGGCGATGTCTAAATGCATGAGCGTCTGCCGGAAAGAAGGCCGGTTGCGAGGTTTACTCTGCCTACAAGTTAAAAAAGACAGCTTGTGCATTGCAGAGGCTGTGTCCGGGAGGATAAAGATTTTATTCTACTTTATCGAAAACATTTTTGGCTCCACGCATAGCTATACCTCAGGCCATGTGCACATACTGAGGAGCAAAAGGAAAATGTAATCAGGAGATACCTGTAATGATAAAATGGAAATCTCTAGGATCAGTGGCCTGTTTGATAATAACAGTCCTTAGGGCTAGTAAAGTCATAATAGCTATCATTTAATAAGGCCTACTGTTTCAGGATATACCAAGTTCTTTATTTATCAATAACTCCAAGTCTGCCAGGCTTTAACCAGGTGATTCGCTCCAAGTCCATATCGGAGACTTCCCTGTGGTTTCAGAGAAATTTTAAACGTGGTTTTGAGGAAGAAGGTAAAAGAGAGTCTTAGGAGAAAGAGATTTCTTACCACGTCTGTTTCATAAGGATTTTGAATCCATCAGGGCAAGTGGAAGGAACTGGAAGGTGTAGGCTATTGCTTCCAACACCCCAAATAATGGCCGAAGAGTCTACATCTTTGTAAGGAATCTCTCCTGTCAGCAGCTCCCAAAGCACCACTCCGAAAGACCTACAGCAGTACCAGGAACAGGTACCAAAGACAGTGCAGAAAGACTGGTTGGTATTTTAGTTCTTTATTCATGTTTAATCAAATATATACCCAGTTTCAAAATTCTAATACCGCCATAAGAAGAACAGAAACAGCCAGGAAAACTCTGGAAAAGAAACTCAGTGAGGGGTAACCAACACTGCTTGATATTAAGACATATCATAAGGCTTCGGTAATTAACTCTGGTGTGTGAATAGACAGCCAGACTAATGGAAGGGAACAGAAATCCATAAATAGGCCAAATATATAGGACTTGAGTATATGATAGAAGGGATATCCCAAACCAGTGCAGAACACTGACTAGTCAGTAAATGCTGTTGGGACAACTGAGGGTAAAATTAAATCTATAGCTCATCTTACATCAAGATACATTCCAAATGAATCAAAAATTCAAATGTGAAAGGAAAAAATGAAACCATAAACCCCTGAAAGAACACATGGGAAATTTTTTTTCTTTTTACTGATCTTAGAGTGGTGAAAGCTTTCTAATTATGAGATCCAGGAGCCACAAACGGAGACACTGATCAGTTAAATTGCATTTAAAAAAAAAATGTAGCATGGAGAAAGAACTCCACCATAAACAAAATAACAAAATGTGAAAAGTAGCCATAATTCATACACACAAAAGGCTAATCTCCTTAATATATAAAATATTTTTATAAACTGATGAGAATCAAGATCAGAGACCTTGGCAAAGGATCAGAATAGCTCACAAATAAGAAATTACCAGTGGCTTGTAAATATATGAAAAAACGTACAACCTAACTTAAAGATTTTATTTATTTATTTGAGAGAGAGGAGAATGAGAGACAGAGAGCACAAGAGGGAAGAGGGTCAGAGGGAGAAGCAGACTCCCTGCTGAGCAGGGAGCCCGATGCGGGACTCGATCCCGGGACTCCAGGATCATGACCTGAGCCGCAGGCAGTCGCTCAACCAACTGAGCCACCCAGGCACCCCCGTACAACCTAACTTAAAAGTTATAAGATGGGGAACACACATTAAAGCTGCACCCAAGACACCATGTGTTACCTAGATGGTTTGCAAAAATCCAGAAAGTCAGCACATTTTGTTGGTTAGACTGAGAAAACACTTATCCATTTCTGTTGGGAACATAATTGGTATAATCCCAAAGGAGGACATGTTGGTGATAATTACCCAAATTACAAATGATCCCACATTTCTACTTTATCTTATTTACTCTGGTGTTACATGTAATTTTAACATATGCTATTATTTTGGTTTTAAGCCTAAAAGTTATTAGTAGCCGGTTTTAAGGATGGGAGAAAAGTGACTACAGGGAAATATACTATTAATAGTAAAGATTCGTAATCTCAAAGGAAAAGCTGATAAAGATTTTTAAAAGGCCAAAAAATAAAAAAGCATAGCTCATACAGGACGTTTACGAAAAGGGCAAACAGCCCTATTACACACTTCAAATAGCTCTAAAGCACATAACCGTATCACAGCAAAGTACATCACTGATACACTCGGTGATGGTCTGAGGCACCAAGACTAGGTAAACTTTGTTTAATGTATTTTATTTAAGAAGGTAAGAATTATGTAATATATTTCCCAAAGACTTTTATGCCAAATGCTTATTTGAAGTAAACTTTCCATTTTCTAGAAAGTTCAGCATATTCTCTGAAGGTCTCCCAAACTGATGATTTACTAAATAGACATTCACCCTAATTCTCCTTCCAATCCTTCTCTCCAGATTCATCATGACACTGGGTAGTACCTCAGACAATAGGAGCCCGAAATCAACCAGCAGTGAGTAACACTAAAGAATATTTTGGGAAAGTAGAAGTGTTGGAGGAGGAAAGGACTCATAGGGTGAAGTGGGAAAGGCTTTCTCGTCGGGACAGATGGCACCGCTCACCATATATCGACTTTTTCAGAGACAGGTTCGTTGCGTATCACCTCTGGTGCCATCCATGCAACCGTGCCGGCGAAGGACATCTTGGTACTTTTGTCACTGAGTTCCTTAGATGTGCCAAAATCTGAAATCTTTACCGCATCTGTGTGAGTCACCAAAACACTTTAAAAAGAAATAAAGAGAACACCCAGATCATTAGTACTAATACAAATCATGACTGTAATTGGCAACTTGGTGTGCTGCCTCCTACCTTGTAGATTTCAGTCTGTGAGTTCCAGTATCACGGGGGCATTAGCTACATGCTAGACAGAGCATCACTCACACATGGGAGGCCACACAGCACAGCTCCCCCTGGTCTCATCCGGCCTCCACCGCTTGCTAACTTTGTGACCTCTGCCAAGCTACCTGATTCTTCTAAGCCAGCTTTCTCATCGTAAGATGGAGACACCTCAGGTCCCAGTAATCTTACCCATGATTCAAGCGTGCAGAAAACTCTGAACACGGGGTATAAATATTTTCTCATCTATATCAAGCAAACTCATTTTATTCATCTGTGGCTCATTAGAGAGTGTTGTCCTAGACTTTCTTGGTGTGTGAGGTAATGTACTATGTTACCTTTCTGAAATCCTCCAGGAGTTTTTGCTAAGGAATTACGGGCTATAATAATGGCCTCATGGAATTTTCACTTGAATTCAAAGAAGATAAGAGATGTAAAACACCCATGCTCAATAAATATTGGTTTCCACCTTGCCAGTCTCAGACAAACCACTAAGAAAAACACTTCTTTTAAAACACTGTTTAAATGATGGCCAACTAAAATCACACATAGGGATTTTTACATTAAAAGGCTAATAAGTATGCTGGGATTCCACCAATGTTGATAAGGAAAGGCTGGAATAAATTTAGGCTTAAGTAGATTCCACACAAGTCATGTTTGCCTTTTTATGGTATTTATCTGAAATGTGACCTGGGGGAAACTGCTTTTCTAGCATTAAAGATGAATACATCTGGTACCAGTCTAATTCAAAATATTAGTATACTTACAAACTAGACTGAATTCACTTGAAATAACTTGTTTAGAACTTTAGAATGTTAATGAGTTAGGGTTTCAGAGGCTTAATGATCTAGAGACTTATTCTTAATAAGAAAAAGCCTTGATATTCATGGTATCAGAATCGAGGTGGCTAGAAAACAGAAAACTTCTCAGTCTCTCTCCTCCCTTCCCTGAACCAGGCACTTCACATTTGTCCCTCTCCATGCCAGTATCACACGGCTCTCTAGTTACCAAACGGCTCTACTTACAACTGCTTTAGAATACCTTCATCCACAACCGACCCCTAGTTTTGCACCTGATATGTAAAATTTACATACTTTGGAAATTTGGATTTAATGGTTTTAGTCGTGGTGAAAATGCATATGGATTTAAATATCACGGGATATCTGACATAGTTTCAAAGCTGATGGTATCATTTACCCTGAAAGTCAGAAAAGGTGATAAGCCCCTAGAAAGAGAAACACTAGAAGCTTCCTCTTCGGCCTCTTTTGTGCTGCTCACTATGAGACTTTTTTTTTTTTTTAAAGATGTGACGAGTGTTGGGTTAGACATTTTATTTTATTTATTTATTTTTTAAGATTTTATTTATTTGACAGAGACACACAGCAAGAGAGGGAACACAAGCAGGGGAGTGGGAGAAGCAGGCTTCCCGCTGAGCAGGGAGCCCGATGTGGGGCTCGATCCCAAGACCCTGGGACCATGACCTGAGCCGAAGGCAGACACTTAACGACTGAGCCACCCAGGAGCCCGGGTCACTACGAGACTTCCTGCTATGGCAAGAAGGAATGGACATGGGGAGAGACTATAGGGCACATGAGGTTACAACTTGTGTAAAGTCTTCCCTGAGACAAAGCTGGGGTCACACAGCCTAAGATTTAATGCGGGTAATGAAATCTCTCTTTAAAGCAAGCCAGACTGATCTTTGTCTTCTCAAAGTTAGTTTGAAACCCAAAGAGGCCAAGGCTGCTGGAAGTTCAAGGAAGTACTGATAACAGAGGGAAAGTCTTATTGGGTAACTTATTACCCTAATCTGTAAATGACAGGAGTTAAAGAAAGTACCATGTGATTTTATACATTCTAAAACTTCCTGACTTCTTCCTCTACAGTTAATTCTCAAGGGGAACAAGGTGGTTAAGAAGGAGACCATTCAAAGAGGTCTTTGGCAAGTATTTTGTGTCCTTTGTGTGTATGTAGTGGATGACAAAAGCAACAGGTTGTGTAAGAATGTGAGCAGATGGAATAAAGACTATAATAAAGTTTATTTGCAAGTAAAGCAAGGAGGGGGCTGTTCAGGGAGCTAACGACTATGATAAGCACTGCAGAGAATGAGGGTGATAAGCAAGAGCTGCTTTGAAGTTTATAATCAAGGACTGATTTGTATCTTCCATGGACAGGGGGCAGAAATCATTGCGAATCCCTCACGTTCACATGACGAGTAGGATGCAGGCTGGGGCTTTAGGTCTAAAAGTTCTGGGCTCAAGTCCTAGCTCCATGACTTTGGGCTCTGAGCCCTCATTTTTCTTTTTCTTTTCTTTCTTTTTTAGAAGGGGAGAAGGAGGGAGTGGGGCAGAGGAAGAGAGAGAATCACAAGCAGGCTCCACGCCCCTCTCACGACCCTGAGATCACGACCTGAGCCAAAAATCAAGAGTCGGACACTTAACCGACTGAGCCACCCAGGTGTCCCCCATGTTTCTTACATAAAATAAGAAGAATGATACTTGTTGCAACTACCCCCACACAATTTTTGCCAACATCAAAGCAGCTGTGATAATGGATATTTAAAAAAATACCATAAACCATGAAAGCACTACGCAGACCTGTTTTTGAAGAAAGGTTAATTCCTCTCTGCTTCTCTAAACCAAAATGTGATGAGAAATAATAAAAAAAAATGTTTAAAAACAGGAGCTATAATGAAATACATCATTTTATCAATTCCTTTCTTCCCTTGATGTGGTCTGGGGAAATGAATAAACACTCCTCTTAAAGTGGTTATTGAGAGCCAAAGAATCATTTTGAAAACAGATCACTAGAAACAACTCTGCTTCTCTTAAATAGCCAGTTTATATTATCTTATGGACACTGTGAACCTTGTGACTATTTCCTTCTTTGCTTAGACTCTAGGAAGGTCAGAGTCAAATCTACAGTCCACCTCTACCAACTGTACAGAATCTTGTGGCATACATTTTGTGAGCAAGCTTTAGTTCTAATGTTCTTATTTTCTCTTTGCCTCAGTCTCTTATTCATCCATTTTTATCCTATTGCATACATTTCTGAAACTCAGTTTTTAACACAACAAATCAAGCCTTCAGGTGGGAAAGTTTGGCATTAAGTATCTGGGATGATGGAGAGTGAATACCTCCGTTAATAATGTATCTTGTTTCACAGCTGCACAGTTAAAAAGCAACACAAAGGGAAAACTAGTGTCAGATGCTTGGAGCTATCTGCCACATAGGTAAGTAAGTTGGTAAACAATAATCCAAAAAACATGCAAAAAGAATTACCCACTGTGCCGATTTAAACTCAACTGAAAGTATGATATCTGAAAACAACCATGCTTGATAAAAATTCCCTTATTTCAAAGCAATAAAACAAAATGGCTGAAAGATTAGCTCCCAAACTCACTTAGGTGATTTGAGATCACGATGAATAATTTTATGGAGGTGCAAATAATTCATTCCACTTGCAATTCCCGTGGACCAGTCCACTAGCAATCGAGGTGTGATCTTCCTGCCGGCTCGCAAAACCTCGTAGAGTTGTCCGTGGGCACAGTATTCCATGATGATGCAGTAACAGGGGGCCTGAGTACAAACGCCCCTTTCAAGAAAACACAAGTATGTTTATAAATTCACACATACATACAAACGTACCTGTATACATATTTATATTTTAAGAATATTTAATAAATTTAATGATTAAGACCAGTTCTTTGTCCATATTATTTTTAAAAGGCATAATCTTTCCCAATTCTTCAGTTACCATTAAACCCCCTCTAGTCTACAAGCTTCTCTATTATGCATATGGACAATTTTAGTTCCTTTTGTTCATTCCAGATTATCTCTATGTTGTGCTGGATCCAGTGCTTTTCTGTGGGGCCATTCCATTCTGGGACAAAGAGCACATTTCCTGAGACTTGTGTAGGCGAGGTACTGTGTTGTGTTAGATTGTTAAGAGTAATTGAAGTATCTTCCTTTTATTTTATTTTATTTTTTTAAAGATTTTATTTATTTATTTATTTGAGAGAGAGAGAGAGAATGAGAGATAGAGAGCACGAGAGGGAAGAGGGTCAGAAGGAGAAGCAGACTCCCCGCCGAGCAGGGAGCCCGATGCGGGACTCGATCCCGGGACTCCAGGATCATGACCTGAGCCGAAGGCAGTCGCTTAACCAACTGAGCCACCCAGGCGCCCGAAGTATCTTCCTTTTAAAATTAAATAGAAGGTTTTATATATAGGGTACAGAAAGAGAGAATTCAAATAAAATACTGCTATTTTTACTATTAATTGTTGAATTTTAAATTAGTCAAATTTAAGATAACTAGTCTGAGGACCAAAAAAAGAGTCAATTTTCTATATCATATAGTCTTTGAAAAAACATTTCTGTTTAGAATAAAAATATCATACAATGTAACCTATTTCTATGTGGCCTATATTTCCATCAATTCCTACATCTTCCACAAAGCCTTTCCTGATGATTCCAGTCCAAGAAGATCTTTCTCTAAATTCTTATGCTACGCGGGAGCCATTCGTTTTTTTTATATGCAAATTTCCTCTCCCCATACAGATCACTGGCTCCTGGAAGGGAAAGGTCTTCAATTTCTTTTCTTTCTACCATAAGGCCTAGAAGTTCACAGCAAGGCCTTGACAAATATTTCTTCACTTCACCTTAACTTTCTTTGCTGCTGACCCTTTGCACAAACATGTGCAGGTGCACGGGGTAGGAAGAGGGGAACTAGCATGGAAGAACTTCTGTTTGTCAGGAATGTTCCATGTTTATGTAATTGTCTGATTTAATCTGCCCCCAAACCATCGTGCAACACATACACCCTCTTCCATTTCTACGGGTAAGGTTCAGAGAGGGACAGTGACCTGCCCTAGACGATACACCTGTGACAGGGCTTAGATTCAAATCCAGTCTAACTTCAAAGCCTATGCTTTTTCCACGGACTATGCCGTACTGCCCTCCCTTTGTGCTTTGTAACTTTTGTGTACACAAGCATATTGGGGCTTCCTATATCAACCTTACCTTAGAAAAGTGATAATTAACTCTACTTCACACTTTTGTTCTGAAGATGAGAAAAGAGAAAAATTATCATATACAATTCTCGGTATCCCATCTCTTAATAGTATGTACGCCTTCTTTCAAAACTTTCTAGAGGAGTTGAGAGTATTCTATCTACAAGATGCCCAGCTAAAGTCCTCAGCCAGCTACCAACTCATGTCTTCTCTCGTGGGCGGCTGTAAGTGGTGAGAGAATGAAGAGGCCATAGCTTGAGACCATGGGAAAGTCCTATAAGGACAGCAGGTTATGAAGAAGTAAAATTAGTCTTCATTCTCCCTGCCATGATATGCCTGTCAAATGCCACAGAGCTATTTCTACTACTCTCCGATCATTTTCTAAGCTACCCAGAATTCTCATCTTCATTTCTAATGAAAAATATTTTTCAAGTTTCTGTTACTTGACTTTTAGGAGCACTTGGTGGAGCAGAGACAGACCACAACTATAATCAGACAATTTAACTTTCATTACAGGAAAACACAGAATAGGCAGGAATAATGTAATGTGCTTAAGAATATAAAAATAAATATTTGTTTGAAGCTACTCAGCATTCTATTCAACCCTGTTTTAACTTGTCGCAAACAGAGAGAAAGGGGTAACAGTGATATGTTATGTACTTTTCATCTTTCTTGACTGATGAGAAGCAATCATTCCATCAACCGTGTACTATGATGAGGCTTCTTAGTAGCTACAAATAGCAGCTCTCTAATCACTTCTAATTGCCACCTTTTCTTCCCCTTGGCACCCAATTCCATTAGGAACAGTCAGATTAGGTCTTCCTAAAAGATTGCTTTCAAAAAATTGGACGAAAAAAATACAGAATTCTTTTCTTTCACTTCCCCTTCTCTACACGGTTCTTACTTCAAAGGAAGCTGTAAGCACAGCAATCAGTATCCAGAGAGACACACTCAAATCTAATCATGCCTTCGTATCTTCCAGACGGTCCTGAATGATTCATTGGCCAAGCAACTCATGGCACAGATGGCTGCACACAGCACTGCACAAAGCCTCAAGAGCATGGTGTAATGAACCAGGGACACAGTCGCGCTATTGGTTTCCATGTACAGGTAAAGACTATTCAAGCATCTTCAGCCTAAAAAGTGGGGCACTGGCATGGCAGTACTCGTCCAAAATGTGGAAAACTGCACATGTAGGCAGGAGGGTCAGAAGAGTGAGGTATGGAACATGTTGCAAGGAAAAAGGAAAAAGGAAAAAGGAAAAGGAAGGAAGGAAAAATAAAGCTTCTCACACCCATACCCTTGGGACACATTTCTGCCAGGACATCCTGGTGGTAAGCCCTCGTACCTGGAACATACAGCCCAGCCCACATCAGGAGGCCAAGAAGCCATGGTAATCTGTAGAATATTCTGTGTCTCAAACTCAGTGTCTTTGTGATTGAAGCTTGAAAGTTTCGTTAAACAGAAGTTAAATGAAAGGCCCTTCCTTCCATTTAGGATGTAGGACGCTAGAAGGGATGATTTTCTCAGTGAAGTAAAATGAAGGAAAGAAGTGAGTCTCTGATAGTCTGTCTGCTTAAAAATAATCCTTCTGCTGTCTTTTGAAATGTATCGTCTTTGGAAAGAGTATGATTAGTCTCTATAGCATTTCGTTTTCGTCTCCCATCCTCCTGGCCCTAACAGCGCAACAAAGGATGGAATCACAAGGGCAACCGAAGCTCTCTCCCGTGCCCACTGTGTGCATGTCCCTTCCACAAGGAGATATGTCCAAGCACTTCATTTAGTATCCCAGCTGAACGCTTCTCTCCTTTCCACATCTCTTTCTCTTTCCATAAAGGGAATCAAAACTCAACATCAATACTCATTTAAACCCATTCTACAAAACCTGTCCCCAAGATTTCTATTCCTTACTTTAGGGATGTGATTCCAATGAAAAATGATCCCATGACATGTTTACCTTTATAATGAGAGTTTTATCGAGAGAGGCTCCATCTTGGGGGCTGGGAGAAGTTCCTCTTAGTTTTGGGAAGGGGAATTTGTAAATTATTCCCCTTTTAGTGGTAGCCTCATCGGTCATACTATTTTCCAGGACTGAAATACATATATGTCAAATGTATCAAGAAGCTCTAGTTTCTAAACTGTCATTCCACCTGAAGACTAGCTTTCCTGTTCTTCACCTTCCCTTCTGTAAAGCCACTCATCATTCGTTTCAGGCTAGGGCAGAATTTAAAGCCTGGCAAGAGAGGGACCTCAAGGGGAAGGTACAGGCAGAAGAGATTACACATATTTAGAGCTCAGCACTGTCAGGTTTGGGGACTGCCACAAATGTACCTTTGTGCCTCCCCTTTTGCTAGTGATCCCTGCCAGGATTACGAAAATAACAGTCTGAACTAGAACGATACGTTCACACACTCTTGAAAACAACTACATTGTGGAATGAACATAGCATATAACTTACTCTCATCAGTATTCCAGTGTCATTAGACTTAGAAAGCTGAGTGTTTGGCATTACTTGAAAAGGGATCTAGCAAAACCTGAGGCAGGGAGAAACACTCTGAAGGTGCCTCTTATTACAAGTTCATATTTAAGAAGGGAGGCTAATAGAAACTAATAAAAAAAATTCCTCTCTGTTACACAGGGACTAATTGTTCTATGATCACTTTAGATATCAGCTTTGTTTTCTTAACTGAATTTTCAGATGGGCAGGTTATCTCAGAGTGACCTCCATCATCCCACTGATGAATGAGGTTGATTCATCAGATATGATTGCTTGGTAAGAATCCATCGCTCCCTCTCTGTCCCATGTACATCCTTTCCAAGAAGGGTGTGCTCTGGCGAAAAGAACTACCAGATTATATGATTCTTAAAGACATGACCTTCATTTAATCGTTCTTTGGCGCCCTCCCAAAATACCTAGCCCAGTACTAAGTCTATAGAGTATTTTCCATATGTCTTTCAAAGCAGGAACTCATATGTAGATATTGGGAGAAAGAAAATCTATTTCTTAAAAAAAAAAAAAAAAGCCTTGACCTACTTGAAAGCGATGATGTTAGGGTGCTTCAACTTCCTCAAATGCTTGATATCCGTCTCATTCTGTTCTCTCACTTTCTTGATGGCCACCTCCTCCGCTCGGAACTTGCCCAAGAAGACAGCTCCTTGGGCTCCACTACCCAGCCACTGCAGCTCTGAGATCTCCTCAAATGGCACCTCCCAAGTATCTAGGCACACAAGCGAGAAACAAACTTAGAGATATCTCGGGATTTGCTCAGGGACCGTTCTACAAGGCCACTCCGAAGGTACCTTCAACATCACCCAAAATGATCTCTACCTTTGGACTCCCACCTGTAACTCACCAAAAGTTATAACCTTCCTACGGGTCTTGGTACAATAGATCAGATATTCTCATGTATTAGTTTGTATCATTTTCTTTAAAGATTTTATTTATTTGAGAGAGAGAGTGAGTGAGAGAGAAAGAGAGAGACAGAGAGCATGAGAAGGGGGGAAGGTCAGAGGGAGAAGCAGACTCCCTGCTGAGTGGGGAGTCCGATGTGGATGTGGGGCTGGATCCCAGGACTCTGGGATCATGACCTGAGCTGAAGGCAGACGCTTAGCTGACTGAGCCACCCAGGCGCCCCAGTTTGTATCAATTTTTAACCAATGAAATCAAGCAGATCAGAGATCTCCAATATATTCTCCTCCAAACAAAACATATCTTGACATTCCCATGGCCCCACTTCCTCACTTCAAGCTTGCGTGTTCTTCAGTCCACTTATTTGTCTCTATACCACTATCCCTATCCCATTACCCATTGTAAGTCAGTGTTGTTTTATTCCTCTTTGAATTTCTAGTGTAGATGCTCAATTAATCTTTCCTGAATGAATTTTCAATGATACTCTCCCAAGGACCTAATTATACACAAAACTTATATTAATATTTACCTTTTATTGAGTACTTACTACATGCCAGACACTAGCATAAAGCTTTATATATCTCATGTGTTGATCCTTTCAACAATCTTGGGAGTCTGGCCTTATTATGGTTATTTATAGATGAGAAAACTGAGACAGGGAGATTAAGTAACTTACCCAAGGTCATACAGCTGGTAAGTGGCAGAACTCAAGAACTGGCTGATTCCAGAGACAGTGCTTTCTCCACTATTACCACATTGCCTCTTGTGAAGTAATTGAGAGGGTCATTAGCCATAATAGATTTACTCATATAGATGCAGTATTTTCAAGTTTCTCTCTTTCTTAGAATTTGATTTTCTTTGCACCAAAAAAGTAATAGGAGTCACTTCTAAGTGGTGACATTATTGATGATTCATATTATGCTCTTTATCCTCTGCTGTATTTTTTTTTACCATGAGCCTGTATTACTTTTATAATGAATAAAATGCTATTTTATTTTTTTAAGATTTTATTTATTTATTTGAGAGAGAGAATGAGAGAGAGAGAGCATGAGAGGGGGGAGGGTCAGAGGGAGAAGCAGACTCACTGCTCAGCAGGGAGCCCGACGCGGGACTCGATCCCGGGACTCCAGGATCATGACCTGAGCCGAAGGCAGTTGCTTAACCAACTGAGCCACCCAGGCGCCCTAAAATGCTATTTTAAATGAAGCACTTCAAAAATTCAATCAATACATGCTTTAATCTCATGGAACTTAAAAAGGAGAATATGATCCATTGATTCTTCTCCTTGTCCCCGTTATCAGTGCATTGTCACTACGCTGGTAAGAAATAAACATCAAAGCACGAGGAGTCCCATGGAGTGAGGAGACGATAATGACAGTGTTAAAGGTTGTGGGGGATTTTCATTAGATCACCAATCACTAAAAGGTCACTGTTGGCAGAATACTGAACAAGATAGTGTTGAGTCAGCTTTGAAGATATTCTGGTCTTGAAAGCAAATCAACTCACATCTACTATGGTGATGAAGCAGCAGAAAGAGGTCATCAGTACCTAGGAGGGAACTACATTTCCCTCTTCTCTCATTTTCTCAAACTTGAGAGAAAATAAATCCTGTAGATTCTTAATAAAATGTGGCTTCTCGTTACAGTAGTTAAAACATGACCTTCCAGAGAGGATGACATAGAGCAGAACAAATTATAGTGAGGGTGTTTGACAGCATAGATACTTAACCCATTCTTCTGCTCTGAGCAGATTAAAGATATCTGCTCTATTGAAATTAGATAGACACTACATAAAAACAAATTTCCCTCAAATACAAATAGCTCACAAACACGAACTCACCGAATAAACAAATGATACCAAGTGAGATGCGGGAGGAAAGAGTGAGTTACGGGCTTGACTGTTTTGAGGATCTTTCTGGCTTCGAATGACTGACAAGTGTGAAGTGTCTCACGCGGTCCCACTTTCATCCCCACAGGCTTATCTGTGTAGCACACACAGGACCCAGGTATCGATGGCCTACTGTCAGAGGGTTTTACTTGGGAGAGGTCTGGTGAAGAACTAGACACAGTATTACTTTGGCCATTCCGGGACCAAATAAAAGGACTATTACTGGATTCTGGAGCAAGAACATCCTGGGCACTATTTTTCTGAAAAACTTCATAAAAGCCCAAGTTATCCTAATTTTTCATAACTACTAAAATACTAAAATTAGACCTCTTTGGGTGTTTTTCCCTATTTACTCAATCTTTATTTATTGTTAAATGCTAGAAACACCAGCAAATATTAGAAAATAAAGTATTTTATCTGCAATCCCATTCCATATTCAGTTATCTTCTCTTCCAGTCTTTGCTCATATGTGTGCAGTTGTGTAGAAGTTGTAGGTGACACATAATCTTTTCTACTTTTCTCATGTATTGTGTATTCCCCATGTATACACAGTTTTCATTATAAGCCTTAATAGTAGTTTACTGTACCCTTTCACCTTTTCTGTACTTAAGTCTTTCCATCTTTTTGTTTGCTGGCTTAAATTTGATACTTTTTTCTCAGACTCAGTTCTTAGGTTAGAGTACAGTTTCCTGGCTTTTGCTATACATTCTAACTTGCCATACAAAAGGGCTTCGCTAGTTTTTGCTGACAGTAGTAATGCATGAGTGTGTCCCTTTTACTTTGCCAGCAATGAATACTGTTGATCGTTTTTTGGGTTCTAAGTTATTTAGGTGTAAAGTAATGTTTTATAAGCTTGCACTACTTTATTTATTTATCTAAAAGATTTATTTATTTGAGAGAGAGCGAGTGAGCATGGGGGCAGAGGGAGAGGGAGAGAATCCCAAGCAGCCTCCTCACCAAGCAGGGAGCCCAACGCACGGCTCAATCTCCCAACACAGAGATCACCACCTGAGCTGAAACCAAGAGTCGGACACTCAACCGACTGTGCCACCCAGGCACCCCAAGTTTGCACTACTTTAATTGCCAGTGAAGTAGAATATTTTCTCCACATTTGTTTAATGCTCACATCTGCTCTGCATGAATTGCCGCATTTATGCTTTGTGCATTTATCTGTCGGGGGTCTCATAGTCCTCATAAATTTGAAGGAGTTTTCTATTTCTTTGACACATATTAAGAGAATGTTTTTTTCAAAAGACTTTGTATTTTATGGGGCGCCTGGGTGGCTCAGTCATTAAGCGTCTGCCTTCGGCTCAGGTCATGATCCTGGGGTCCTGGGATGGAGCCCCACATCGGGCTCCCTGCTCAGCGGGGAGCCCGCTTCTCCCTCTGACAATCTCCCCTCTCATGCTGTTTCTCTCTCTCTCTCTCAAATAAATAAATAAATAAAAATCTAAAAAAAAAAAAAGAAAAAAGAATGTTAGCAATGAGGATGTGCAAAACTGGGGGCCCTGATAACTGACAGCAAGATAATGACGTAACAATGGAACCTGGCTGTGTTCACTCCAGGGTTAATCCCAGACTTTCTGCTTTTATACCTGTCCATTGGTACTCTTCCCCAGCTTCTATCTTCTGATTCATCACTATGACTATTATCTTAATTCCAATATCTACCATGATCTCTAAGACTGAGAAAAAGCCCCATGCCCACCCATTTTGAAGGCATAAGTTCTCCTTTGTTTGTATTCAGACATGTCTATGATATAATACTTGCTTTAGGACTGGGAACTATTTGGCAGTAAAAAATTTCAATTACACATACTACCTTAGTTGGATTTCACTACCAACATACTAAATGGGAAATGAAGATGTCATTAAAATTTTTGAAAAATCAAGTGAAGTTTCCTCATAAGTACCAAATGCAGAGACACATCTGTTCTGTGTGCTATCCTTTGGCTGACTGTAATCCAGGATTAAAGATGAGCTCCCTGATCCCAGAGCTGACAAGGAAAAAACTACCTTAGTTTCTGGCTAGTGAATCCCTTTCACGGCCCCCGGCAACACCAGCCCACAGTACGGTATCCTGTCATCTGCTGAAGAGCTAGGCAGCTATAAGCTGCCTTGTAAGCTTAAGCTGACCACGCCCGTTTCTTATTTACTCTTGAAATAAGCCTTTCTGGCAGTCACATAATCAATCAGAAGATTGATTAAATACAAGTTTACAGGACAATTAAAAAAAAATTTTTTTAAGTAGGCTCCACGCCCATTATGGGGTTTGAACTCACAACCCTGAGACCAAGACCTGAGCTGAGATGGAGATTCAGACGCATAACAGACTGAGCCACCCAGGCACATCCCCTGCCCCCCAAATTTGAAAAGTCCTTTTGACAGACACATAGGATGTGTCTGCTGCCCCTCTTTATGAGCCTGAACCTCGATGCTGCATTTGTATCCTGAGATCTCCAAATTACCACCAAAATAATTATTAGACTGGACAAGTTAAGACCCTAGAAGCCAAATGCAATTTTATCACATAAGCAGATATTAGTAGGTTTTGTGTCTCAGTAGAGGAGAGGGAACTTTTTAAAAAATAACAAACTAAGAGTGGTTATCCCTGGGTTGTGGGATAACAGGTTATTTTTTATTTTCCTCTTTGTGCTTATCTTAATTCCCAATTTTTAAAATAATAATACTGTTTAACATTGAAACCCCCAACCTTTGTGTGACAAGGAACAACTTTTTAATTTCTTGAAACCTCAAGACCATAGAGGGGGAAAGAAGGGCGGAATGTGCAGGATGGCTGGGATGGGAGGATGTATGACAGACAGTGAGACAGGGAGACAGACCGACCCCAGGGACGCAAAGAATTTCTGCATGCACAGGAATGGATGCTATGATCGACAAATCTGGGAAAGCACACCTGGGATCAATTGATTTACCAGCAAATCCAATAGACATACTGGGAAAGGGTATAGAGGGAGAGGTTTAAGAGAGGTATTGGTTTAAGAGAAAATATTTCAGAAATCAGAAAAATAGAATGCACGAGAAAAGTGGTCAACAGTGACTGAGGTCGACTGGCTGTTGTGGAAAAGCTGTCAACAGTCTCGACTGAAAGATATGAATATATGTATATATATATATATTTAATTTTTAAAAAGATTTTTATTTATTTACTTGAGAGAAAGAGCTCACGAGCGGGGGCGGGGGCAGAGGGCGAGGGAGAAGCAGGCTCCCCGATGTGGGGCTTGATCCCAGGACTCCCAGATAATGAGCTGAGCCAAAGTCAGACGCTCAACCGACTGAGCCACCCAGGCGCCCCAAAGTGAATATATTTTTAAGAGAGGGTCACAGAGTCCAACATTCAGATATAAAGTAAATAAGACAGAATCTCATTTCTGGTCTACATTTCTGGTCCTTTCCAAAATTTCTTGATGAGAGAACTGTTAACAATGGAATCATTTACACAAGTCTACAAATATATGTATCAAAAGCCTTAAAAAGGCATGAACCATTTTAACTCAACCATTTGTCTTCTAAAAACTTATCTTAAGGAAATCAAAGATATAATAAGAATGATCACAGACATAACTAAGGGTATGTGTGAAAATTAAGTAATAAACAGATGTTCATTGCAGTATAGCATATGATCACTAAAAATAACAAATTGCCAAGGAATAGAGGATTGCTTAAAGAAATCTTGGCACATTCACACAATTTAATACTGTGTAGGCATTAAAAATGCTGAAGAAGTATATTTCATGATATGGGAAATGTTCAAAATGTGAAGCGAAAAGGCGTAACGAAATAGTTTGACTCTGTTTTTTTTTTTTTTAAAGCACACACACATAATAAGACTAACATAATATATACCAAAAACATTAATAGTGAAGACTGAGGATCATAGATAAATATTTTTACTTTGGGGGGAAACTTACCTGTATATTCCAACCTAACCTCATATATTACTTTTGCTATCAGGAAGAAAAAAATTCCTTTAAAGAATATAAATGAAGTTATAAAGAACACTAGGGCCATGTGTTCTCTTTCCTTCAGAAGCATAATGCTTGAATTGGTATATATGAATATGCATGTTACACCGTGATGGGAGTTAATTTACTTTTTAAAAAGCTGTGGGATCTAGACATGATAATGCTTCTCAAGATCGGTTGTATATTTGTTCTTTGCTCACAATGTGAGCTTTCTGTGCCTGGGCTGTAAGAAAATGATTCCTTTTTACTACAACCTAAACCAGGGCACAAGCTTTAGGCAGAGAACCATGTGGCGTCTGTCTGGTTTTGAGTTAATCCAGTGGCCATCAGACTTTTTGATTGCATGAACTTTCAATAAAAAAAATTTGTAAACATGCACTAGGTGATTTATTTATAAGTTATGTATCTGCACAACTTTATTAAAATACCAAATATATATGAAAACATGCATGAAAATAGAAACTTAAAATGATGATACAAGGAACAGGAGCTCTAACATTTTCTTCCTCATAACACTGTAGATTGTCTTCTATGTACTCTACTTGACACCCCTAGACTGGACAGCTATAAAAGATGGGCTTTGGCCAGAAAAGACCAACCAAATGTGAATCTGTTCCAGTCAGAAGGTTTATAGGAGATTGGTATAGGGTATTCATCGGGCACTAGGGTTTTAGTCAAAGGTTATCCAGTGAATGGTGGTGATGTGTCTACACAGGGACTATTTCCCAGGTCCACACTCTACCTTACCTTGCTGCTGTAATTTGTAATCAGTGGAATATGCCTTGCCAATGATATTCCAGACAGGCCTTAAGCATCCAAACAGTCCTTCCAGAAACCCACCACTGCCGCTGCCCGACCTGCTGAACTGAATCTTGATGTCTTCAGTTCCACTTGTGCTCTCTCCATCCATGGTGTTGCTGTTCCCCTGAGACATGGCCATCTCTGATTCATCTTGTTCCCTTAGCTGAAGAACGCTGTTCTCAAACTGGTCCCTGGAATCCTCACTCACGCTTGTCAACACTGTTGTGGTGATGGGGCAGTTCATGCTCTCGGTTAGCTCTGTTTGCACCACCCCCTTTTCCTGCTGGTCCTTAAGAAGCTTGGGTGATGGGTGGCTCCCCACAGGTGTGAGTTCATCTTGTAGTCCGTTGGAGGTTCTGCTTTCACTCGAGGGTAAGTGTGAGGAAGAGGAGCAGCTCAGGGGCTCCTGAGGGTTGGCCATGGTGCCATGAGTGTGCCCAGGGTCCTGAGATGACACTCAGAGAATTATTGGGACAGAATTCTGATGGAAGAGAGGGCTCCAAAACCTGGGGAAGATAGGAGGAGGACATGAGATCACCCTTCTTTTAGTCACCCACACTACCACACTTCTGTTTATAATAACAAAAACACTGAAAAACGGGGATTGGTTGAACGTCGGTATACATCCAAATGGTGGAATACTATGCAGCAATTACAAATCATGTTGTAAAAGAGTATTTATGAACCTGAGAAAACGTTCATGACATGTTAATATAAAAAATAGGTTAGAACAATATATACACCATAAACCCTTACAATTTTTTAGTTTTTAAATTCCAGTGGACATACAGTGTAATATTAGTTTCAGGGGACAATATAGTGATTCGACACTTCCATACATTACCTGGTGCTCATCACAAGTGTCCTCCTTAATCCCCATCACCTGTTTCACCCATCCCCCACCTTTTACTGGAAAGGACACACGAACACATACACAAGAAAAAACACTGGAAGAATATATCCCAAGAATTAACTATTGTTAACTATTAACTACTGTTAGGTCTAGGTGGCTAGATTTGGGAGGGGTTTATTCCAAGCATTCTGCATTAATATGTTGCTATAGAGTGAATGGGGTTGTGTCCCCTTGCTCCAAAATTCATATGCTGAAACCCAATCCCCAATGTGATAGTATTTGGAAGTGGGGCCTTTGGAAAGTGATTAGGTCATAAGGGCGGAGCCCTCACAGACACGTCAAATATGCCAGTGCCTTGATCTTGGACTTCCCAGCCTCTAGAACTGTGAGAAATACGTATTTGTTGTCTGAGCCATCTAGTCTATGGTATTTTTGTTACAGCAGCCTAAACAGACTGATAAATATTAAAAAATATTAAAAAAAATGTTTCCCTTCCCAAAGAGAAATTAAATGTCTTGATAAGCACTCTTTTATTAGGAACAACATCCTGCTCATATTTTTTCTTTTTTCTTTAGTGTTTTTTTCTCCTGGGGCATTGTTTTACTTCCTAAGGTATTCATTAAGTCATGTAGGTAAATGTCTTATGTATGTGACAACACAAATTCCTAAGATATAAAATCTGTTTTTACTGTAACGCACCAAATCTGGGGCAACAAACTAAGCCCCAGTGCTTTAAACTTATTCTTTGCTTCTGATCTGTCCATTAGCACCAATTTCTCAGGGCCACCCAACCTCTGAAAATAAAGACATGGAATTGTCTAGATTGGCCAGTTCATGCAAATTTAATCTTAAATTTATTCATTGTATGTCAGAAAATTACTTTCTTTACAAATCCCTATATAATAGTTATTTCTTCCTTCACTCTGAATTAAACATTTAGAATATGTTTAATAGGAACCAGGGTATAAAGAGAATCTCACTTTATAGAGGGGGCAAGAAACAGACCAACAATGACTGACAGTACAGTGCTTATCATGAATCAATCAAGTGCTCTGGGAGCACAGAAGAGGGAGGGATACTTTCAGGGCTAGCTGCCCAAAGGTGGTAACTATTGATCAGTGTTAGAAGTGTAGAACCTCATCGGGTTGGCAGGAAAGGGGTGAGCGAGAGAAGAGGGAGAGGATACCACAGATGTGGAGAAAGTATGAACAAGGGCAAGGATGCATGAAAGACTATGGAATATATGACCAATTGAAGTGGCTGGAATGTAGGGTTACATGTATATATAGAGAGAAAGATAAGAAAGGAGAGAAAGTCAGGAACCAGGGGCACCTGGGTGGTTCAGATGGTTAAACCTCTGCCTTTGGCTCAGGTCATGATCTCTATATCCTGGGATAGAGCCCCACGTCAGGCTCAGTGGGGAGTCTGCTTCTCTCTCCCTGTCTGCCTCTCCCCCTGCTTGTGTTCTCTTTCTCTCTCACACTCTTTCTCAAATGAACACATAAAATCTTTTAAAAATTTTCTAAAAAAAAAAAAGTCAGGGGGTGCCTGGGTGGCTCAGTCGTTAAGCGTCTGCCTTCGGCTCAGGTCATGATCCCAGGATCCTGGGATCGAGTCCCACATCGGGCTCCCTGCTCAGCAGGAAGCCTGCTTCTCCCTCTCCCACTCCCCCTGCTTGTGTTCCTGCTCTCACTG